GGATATTAATCCATTAAACAGTGTAAATTAGTCGATCCCCACATACGTTATATTGTATCGACCTTACTTATTGCCCATTCTTCGAATGCAACCCACAAAACGCAGCGACGGAGTCATTCCTTCAGTGAAATACTTATTGATTGCATGCACTGTGCTTGTAGTACTGGTGGCCGTGATTTGGTGTTGTATGGGAGGGAATTCTCCTTCTGCAATGGCTACCCCAGCAGTTGTTGTTCAGTCTTCGATAAAGCAAACTGCTACGGTAAGTTCGTGAGTTATTTTTCTCCTGAAGCTTGTTGTCTCGGTACTATACAGTATCCAGTGAAGTGAACGTGATGAAACATAACAACATCGCAGTGAAGTGCAATTCTGAGTATGAGCAATGTGGCTGTTTGAATTTTTTTCATGAAAAAAAAATAATAATTTAGATTTAATTGAGAACTGTTTTTAGTTTTTGCCTCGGGCGTTTTAAGTAGTGTCAGCTCATGTGTCCTGCCAAAAAATTAATGTAAATTTGTGCCAGTACTAGAAGGTTTTAGCACGAAACCCATAGTGAGATGATGAGCACTCCATTTAAGAATTTTGATAGGTATACGCTGTGCTAACGCATTAAAACAAAAGCTGCAGAAGGTGTAAAATGAAGACAAGTTTCCGGACCAGCTGTGGGAGGACCTGCAGGTTTTTTGTAGTACGTGTGTTCTCCATGTTTGGTACAATATAATATTCTTTGTTAATCAGAACAGCACTTATAAGTTATAAGAAGTTTGCAAATAAGTCACTTGCAGCTAATTGGACTTATATGTAGTTGCAAATGACGAGAAACAGTTAATTCACTGTATTGAAGCAGTGGAGGAAATCAAGTGTTTGAACTTGTAATTTCATCATTTTAAATGCCATAGAAATTTCATCTAAGCAGATATCCACAAAGGATCCTTCCTATGATAATTAAATGGATAGTCTTAAAGTGAGCAGTGAAATAGTGTCCATCTTGCCTCAATTGCATGTTATTTATTGACACCAGGGCACAAATGCTGGCAAGCCAGGTCAATTACTTTCCGTGATATCAGTTGTTACCCACTCATGCCAGAAGGCAATTTTGGTTTTTATGAATAATTATACTAGTGAACATGAACATAGTAGCACAGTGTTCTGGTAGGTTATAAAATGAGCAAAACCAAGAAATTTATTATTGTTAGAAAAATGAATTGACATAATTTGGAGTAAAAATTTACATTGCAATTACAGCAAAACAATTTTTATGTACATGGTTATTGCACCACAATAATTTTCATATGGCAGCATTACAAAATGTTAATTTTCTTTTTTCACAACTGTTATGTTCCTAGGTGTCATACTTGTGCGAATTAAAAAAAAAAAATTCAAAATAGAATTCTAGCCCTCAGTGCAGTCAATGCTTCTTAAATTTTAGATAGGTTATCATAGAAGGTTTTTATACAAAGTTGAATGAATTTAATTAATTTTGAATTAAAAGGTGTATTATTTTTGTTTCTGTTCAGTATTTATATTAACCACTGCCTGACACTGAGAACCAAGCTAAAGAATTATGTATCTTGATCTGCTAGTGTAGTGCATGGAAATTGCAATTTGTCATTTCCTCCATTAATCAGGACGTTGTTATTTCTAGTACCATTACCCTCTTGACCTGATTGCTTTATTTTCCCTGCTTCATATTGTTGGGCTGCCTCACTGTATTTTACTTTGCTGTACAAACTATTGTTGTGGAGGATGCAATCACGGCCTCCACAATGAGTGGAGAAGTGTATCACTTGGCCATAAGGGGTGGTTCTGCTGATATGTTGGTGATTGTGGATATGATGGTCATTAGCTAATATAAAAGTGTAAGAAAGTGCTTTTTTTGTGCTTACAATTTGAGAAGAGACTCTCATAGGCTACATCCACTATGTTTTGAATACTATCTTGAAATTAAGATCACATAAACGTTTAAAGGCACTCAAGACTAGTTATTGGCACTATAGACCAGACTGAAGTGTTTTTCAAAAAAAAGTTGTCAAATTTTGTTGGTTTCCATTGGAAGTCACCAGTAGCTCAAACTTTTTTGAGTCGCAATGCAAGGTTTTGATTTATTTTTATTGAAATGTTTAAAGCATTGCATATTTTAAATCATGTGTTTGTTATTTATCATTTTGCTTTATTTCGATATGGAAAACATTTCTCCTTTGTTTCTGAGATATATGATACAGTTTTAGTAATTTTAATTGTCTATGGTTACAAGGATTTCTAGTTATTAACATTCAAGTGATTATACTTTCAAAATATTTTATGAAACAGCTACATTTCACTCATCAAAAGAGCCTCATCTGGCTGATGGCCCAAAGACTGTTGGGCCTTCCTAGACTTGTGAAGCATCCTTACTTGGGTTGCAATTGGCGGAATGACCTGGACAGTTAAAGATAAGGGCCAGCTGGTATCCCTGGTCCCTATTCATAGAGTTTTTCTTATATAATTATTGATTTGTAATTTACCCCAGACAAATAAAGGGTCAAAACCAAAATTACAGTAAATTATATTACATTGTAAGACCACAAAAATGCCAGACCACTTTAGAACCACCTTTTCCCATGATAACTTAAATCTGTTGTTAAAATTGCACCAGTCTTATTTTTAGCAAGACCTTGTAACCCCTGGTGAAAACAAACATTGCTGTTGATAAATGGATATTGTTCAATTACACTTCACTTCAGTTCGATTTAATTGTTTTGTATTCTGAATATAGCTATGATAAGGCTTGTTTTCACCTACAAAGGTGTAAACTGTGGTTTATAACCTCAGTATATACATGACATAGCATTCTCTCTCCATACATGTATTATCTACATAAACCAGACCACTAGTTGTTCAACCCCTGTGGATGCACAGACCAAGAATTAAAATGGAAAGTACTTTTTGCACAAAACCTGTAAAATTGAAACAATCAGGATCCATCTTTATGGTATTAAACTGTGATTTTTCTTGGGGTAAAAGAAAGTCAGGTGGGGTTACTGTAAATAGCAATTGAAGCCAGTGAGTTGGATATACTGTATAATTTTTTTAATAATCTGGATGGGGCATGTATAGACATTTATCCCAGTGCTTTTCTAAAGCATTTCTGATGAGAAAGTACACAGCAGAATTTTCAAAAACAATTTGAGTTTCATTTGTCAATAGCTATTGAAAAAATTAACTGAGAATTACCAGTCAGTATAGCGTATGATGAATAAGAATTCTTTTGTCTTGAATCTTGTTATTTACTTTGTAGATTTCTTAGTGTGCTTATGTTATAAATAACAAAATAATTAAATTACTACTCCTGTTCAAAAACAGCATTTGTAAGACAAGTGAAAATCAATAACATATCTTCACAGGTTATAGAGGGATGCCCAGTAAGTACCAGAAAATTGTAGAACATATCAGAAAATGTGTTATTCCTAAACCTCAAATTCAGAATACTATGATTCTATTTATTGCATTATTTTAATGTTTGTTTGTTGTTTTCAGGTTATATTTCTACATGGGCTTGGTGACACTGGGTATGTAAAATTATGTGCTGCGTGTTCTTTCTGTACATTGGGGGGGAATTACTAGTAAAGTTGATGAGCAGAGTAAAGATATTTAATCCCTTGTGTTTATACTTTCATCAATTCATCTGATAAGATACACCATGCTAGTGCAGTGAATAATATTGTGTCTAATTATGTTCTTGATTTGAGCCTTGTAACATTTTTTAAAAAGATTTTGTGTTAATCTAGACTTCAAAAAAGATTCTAAAGGAGTCGTGTGTGTGTGTGTGTGTGTGTGTGTGTTATCTTAGACTTGAAACTATAGCCATGTAATATCTTACCCCCCCCCTTTTTTTAAACTTTTTTATTATCAGAAATTCTCAGGGCATTCCATTTTCTCAACTCCCCTTTCAAGATAAAGAAGATGCAGATTTTAGATTTAGACTATCAGTGGTCCCTAAAATAGTATATTTAATAATTAAAGGGAAAACAACTTTGCATTTTGGTAAAAAATAATGGGGTAAACAATGATTTTTCCATACTTAACAATGGTGAATGAATCCATTCCAACATTCAAAGAAAGTTTTTTTTTTTTTTTTTTTTGGGGGGGGGGGTAATCTTCCTTTAAGAGATTATTACAGAGGTATAGCTACCTATGGAAGTCCATATGGTCTGATGACAAGCAAAATTCCAGAATAATTGCGATAACTGCAGTTTTGTTGGTAAAATGGAATTTATTATATTTCTTTGAGTTGTTTACAATGTATTTATTGTAATAATGAATATCTTTTGGACAGTTGTTATCTCTTTAAAGTTGGAGCTTTAGTGAGAAAACATCCAATTTGAATGTCTGGTGTTACATAACTACTTTGCCCCTACCCGACCCTAAATGGGGGCCCAGCAGCAGAGAAGTATGAGACCATTCCCAGAGACTATCGAACTATCTCTGAGGGGATTCTTGCTTAATTGCAATTAACTTGGGCAGCTAAGATCTCTGTCACGCCTGCTGAGGCTAATAGGGGGTAATTAACTATCGTTTAGCAGCTTTAGTGGGCGTGCCAGACGTCTAAGCCACTTGGGCTGAAAGCAATTTAGCGAGGGACCCCATGGAGATGGACCGATCCTGTAAGATCGATCTAGGGATAGAAACCCAGTCTAATTGCGGGGTTGGGTGTAATCACTCAGCTGGTCATCTGGAGTAAGTCTGAGGAGGAAGTTGTCAAGTTTTAGCTGGATGTGGATTAGGTAAGATTGACAGGGATGTGTACAACTGCGCACCTAGGAGTAAAATGGCCCCCCTCCCCCCACTGACAAATATAAAGAGTATGGCTGAAGAGGAATGTGTGCTGGAAGTGGCACAAGGTGCAATACAATATTTTGGTAATAGACAACTAATGCACCCTGTGGTATGAGAGTAGATTAAGGCTCCGTTCACATGGAAAATCTATTTTCGGTATCTTGTGATCATGGTCTGTGCCCTGGATACCCGCGGCGTAATTACTGGCAGCACGAGCGAGTTACTTCCAAAGCTGTAATTAATTTTCGGCTGCGCTCGGAGGAGATTCTGATACCTTGACGCACTTTCATGGACTTGAAAACTTATAAATTATTTGCCAGACACAGTTGATTAAACTATTTTACCTCGCTTTACAGTCTCATCTTTATATGTAATTTCTTTCCTTTTGTAAAAATTCAGTTACTTTTTTGAATGGGAAATTACTTTGCAAGTGCAAAGAAATTGTATAATTGAAGAAAAAGCTTACGAAAAAAATGACTGTGACATTCTTTCTTATGGATTAATATAATTTTGTCATCAGAAAACCCCAGGCACAATTCCCAAAAGATAATGAAAGTTACTTGCCAAATATGAATTGAAATTGACAGTTTCATCTTTATACATAATTTGTTTCCTTTTGTAAAAATTCAGTTACTAGAATGAATGTAAATTACTTTGCGAGTGCAAAGAAGTGTATAATGGAAGAAATAGTGTAAGAAAAAAAAAGATTGTGACATACTTTTTAAGCCCTGTTAAAACGCTCAACAATTTCACACAACATTAGTTGAGCAATGATAACACACACTGCTGTCACCTTGAACGAGTGTGATAAAATCGGCATATTATTAAGAAACCGGATGCATTAACCTTAAAACAACAAAAAAAAAAACTTTAGACTGCCATACTATTCTACCATAATACAAAAACCTGAAAGTGGCCAAAGCATTAAAAACCAATGTTGCAAAATCTATAAACCTTGACTTTTGTGAGCAAAATGGCTTCATTTTAAAAAAGTGAAAGATCTTACAGCTCTGACAGTGTTAGAGCTTGTAGTTGTTGAGGAAAACTAGGGCAAGAATAATAAAAAAAGGAAAACAAGAGCATGGATGAAAATAAGCCATTGTGGGAAATGATATGAATCTACTTGAGCCTCTTCAGTTTGCTAAGTGTGAAAAGAGGGGTCTAGTGCCCTTGTGTAGGCTGAACATTGTTGGATGGGGTGTTAAAATGCTCTCAACAACAGTAAATGTTGAGTCAACCCACTGAGCATTTTTGACTTTGTGTTCAAACTCCCCCGAACATTACTGAACACTGCTGAACATCATTGGACATCACTCAAGGTGTTAAAATCCTTTCAATATTTTATCATCATCAATTCCTTTTTACGACATCTGGTGTCTAGGGCTCTGTTCTCACAACTTTTAGATCGATCTATCACCGCGGGGAGTCTCACTAGATTACTGTCAGATAATCCGCCTTAAGTGTCCGTCCCCGCCTACTACAAGCTATAAGGGGTAATTAACTTTCGTGTCCGCCCGGCTGACAGCTATTTAGCGTGAACCCCCAGGGAGTTAGGTCGATCCAATGTAGGTCGATCTAATCTATGAGAATGGGGTGTAGGGCACCAACAAAAATCTTCCACTGCTCTTTGTCAAAAATCTAGGTGTTGAATGGTTCCCCAGCCTTCTCTTAGTTGTTTCAGCTTTGCTTTGATGGTCCTTGTCCATGTTGTCTTAGATCTTCCTCTTTTTCCATGTCCCTCAGTGTCCAGTACGTAGCTACTTTTGTGGTGGAACTTGGGTCCTTTCTCAACACATGGCCAATCCCTTTCAATATTTGCCCTCGTCAAATGTAGAGTGATGTTCAGTGAAATGTTGAGAGCATTTTAATTGGACTTTATTGATAAAATATATTTTTTCGACATAAAATCCTGGGCACAATTTTCAAAAGATCAAATAAGTTACCTTTTTTATTTTTCCCCCAGCTGAATTTTTCATCTGAGATTGATCTTTTTCATTTTTATTTGTTATGCACAGCTTTATTTTTTAACATGCACTTGTTTCCTAGATGAAACTTCTGCAGATATGAGATGGTTTTTATTTTCTAAAAAACTTCTCTACTTTTATATTTTTCTGATAATTTGCTTTTTATTTTTATTTTTTAGTCATGGATGGTCAGAAATTTTTGCAAGACAAGCCAGAATACCATACATCAAGTATATATTACCTAATGCGTGAGTATCAACTTAATAATACAAATTTAGTTATAATATCAAGTGTAATTGGTCAGTATTAAGGTTAGATATACTGAATACCATGGTGTATGTGACGTCTAGTGTGGATTCATGAGAATTGAACACATATACTGCGTATCAACCTAGGGTGCACTGATGAAGATACAATATCCAGGTGAAGTTCTGAAATTCAGAAATAGATCACCTGCTGCGTGACTGTCAGATTAAAATGCACTAATGAATATAGAGTATACAAGGCTTGTTCCTTATGAACATTTGCAGCTTTGTGATTTTATTAGTGTCAGATGCAACAGCTAATGTTAACAATTGGAAAGTGATTGCAGATGATTTTGATAAGGTACAAGAATGACTTTTAATGAATAATGCTGGCTGCTTCAATTTTCTTAAGCAGGAATTGAATGTATTGCCTTGAACTTTATCGAAGCACTGCACACGAATACCTTTAAAAATTGTTGATTAACTCTTCTTGATTCAAGGCTTCTTCACCATCTGTCATTGTCACTGTACATCATGCAGTGGGGCATGACATAAAAATTACTCAAGTTTTTTTGCTTTGAGAAAACATTTGTTTTTTATTGGCAGGTGATTATTGCACTTTGCTAATAGATTTCCTTTGTTTTCAGCTATCACTGCATATATATATGGTGTTTTTGCTGCTGTGATTTTTTTCACTGTTTTTAATTTTAAAAATTTATTGATTAAGAGGAAAATACTGCTGCTGTATGTTACTGTGTTTTAAGGTATTAATAAATTGAAATAATTATCTGTTATGTATTTTCTTTCATCGCTTTGTTAATTAATAAAGTATACATCTAGAACTAATCTTGCAAGCTGCTTTTTAAATCATAATTTATTACAATTTGTTTTCTTAGATTGAATTAGGTAAGTCTAATGTGTGATTTTAATATGTTCATTGATCCATATATTTTGAAATAAATGTTTCCTTCATGTGGACTTTTGAATCAGTGAACCTTCAAACTATCAAAGTGCTCTCACTGTATGTACCTGTGAATAACACATCTTTCCATTGCCCTTTCAGTCCTATACAGCCAGTGACATTAAACGCAGGATTTAAAATGCCATCTTGGTGAGTATCTGATCCTTCTCGTAGGATTTCTTCAATACACCACGTGTTTGTTGTTTTCTTGGAACTTTGTAGTATTTTTATAACCCCCCAAAATAAAGGTTATAAATGTGGCACTTTGAATAAGATTGCCAAGTGCATGCAGTGCTCTAGTTTTCATTTTCAAATTTGCACCTTCGTAGCGACTTGGGTTATTGATTGCTTTTCACTTTTATCCATGGTGGTAATATTGAATCAATCTGCCCCAGTCTATGCTGGCATTTACCAGAAGTGATATATTGTCAAAATTCTCTCTTATTTCAGTCATATGTGCCATTTACAGAATTAAGCATTGATTATCTTGATGCAATTACGTATGTGAACATTGTTGATGTGTCTCTTCATTTTTCCATACATTGAAGCCAGAAAAGCATTTAAATTTCTGTGGTGCATTAAAAAAAGGAATAGTAACAAAATTTAATAAAAATGAAAATAAAAGAAAATCTTTTCAGAAAAGTTTGGTGTTTGGTGGAAATTAAACTAATAAGATGAAGAAAATATATATATATATATATATATATATATATATATATATATATATATATATATATATATATATATATATATATATATATATATATATATATATATATATATTAAAGATGTATTTGAAGAAGTTTCAAATAGCATAACTTAAATAAATACCGAATGGAATCATTTCATATTTTTTTATATAACCCTCATTTGTTTTTGACAACTCATCTGAATAATGGTGATATTGCACATGCAACATTAACATGCCATAGGCATTCATTACTGTGTCATTTGACAGACTTTTATGAACTGGAGGGACAAATAAGTAGTTCAAATTTACAACCAGAAATTTGAGGAAGGTGTAGTTTTAAAGCTATTTTATGGCTGATCATCTGACTGATTTGGTTTTCTCCTTGGCATTGTTTAAGTCATATAAGAACTAGTAGAAGTGACTTAAATGCCTAACAGGGAACCCATTCTCGCTTTTTAAATCTTAAATCCTAAACTGAGATCTACTTTCTTCTCAATTTTACTTTACCAGATAGATGGAAATGCTTTTCTAATGAGTGAATGTATTAAGTAAATGTCAAGTATGTTCTTGAAAAATCCAAGCATTAAATTTGTTGGAGTAGGCTTTATGCACCAGATATACTATGTTCACATTTAATAGAAAGTGGGTTTTCTCTATATCTGCAAGATAATCTGAAAAAATTAGGATAGTGCAATGGAAAGATGTTGCTGAACTACGTATCACACTCCCCTGCTAACATATAAGACTATATATCCAAGGTATTACATATATCTTTTCACAGTAGTTGCAACTGTGTGATTCAAGTGAAGTATCTTCAAATAATCAAAAGAATATTCTAAAAAGGTGTGTCAAATGTCAGGCATTCAAACATAACAGTCAGGCATCCATTAATCTTATTTCAATTTTTTTTCATTTTTGAAGAAATGTATGTAATGTATATTGATAGTTATAGCTTTGTATTTCAATTCAGCTACAAGTAAGTTTTAAGTTGCTTTTTTCAGGTTTGATATACGGGGGTTAAGTCCAGATAGTCCTGAGGATGCAGAGGGAATTAAGAAAGCAGCAGCTTCATGTAAGTCATCTTGAGACAAATGAGTAAATCTGTCAAAACTTTTCAGCAAAAATATATACAATCCTTGTTAATTGTCACTGACATTATAAAATTTATTTATATATCCAACAAGATCAGTTGCGAGGTCTATTATTTGTGTACAGGTGTATACTAGGTATCATTACAGGTGTGTTTTTCTCTTAGCTATTAATTCTAAATCCAGAAATTTTTGATCAATTTCCCACTGTAGTAACATAACGCTTTTAACATTTTAGTGGAAGAATTAATAGAAGCAGAAGAGAAGGCAGGTATTCCCAGTGATCGTATAGTAATTGGTGGTTTCTCCCAGGGAGGGGCTGTGGCCCTGTATGCCTCTCTGTCCCACAGAAAACCTCTGGCTGGTATCCTGGGACTTAGTGCTTGGCTGCCTTTACACAAGCAAATTCCTGGGGTATGTGTGTATTGTACCTGTGTTACAGACTTTTCCATATTGAACGTTATTGTTTCACCTGTAGTAGTATGCTTTGAGAGATTGTCAGCTTAATAACCAGGTTGTTTTGTAAGAGAATTAACTAAATAAAGTCTCAGCCTACGCTCTACATGGTCAATTATTTCTGGTTGGCACTTGTTTTTGTGCAGAGAGAGTGTGTGCTTCAGGTAGTATTTCTTCTCAAACTGTAAGAAGCAAGTTAAGTCCCTTGCAGCGTAATTACACAGAAAACCCTCTTATAACCGAAGGCTGCAGATGAAATGTTAAAATATAACACTCAGTATGTAAGGTTGTCAAGTCTGCAATTTAGACGTGAAGTGCATGATAGTTTTAGAATTTTACTGGATATGTTACCTTTTGTATAATTAAAAAAATATATATTTACATAATTATTATCATCAATATTAATCTATTCATTTCCATGAAAATTAAACAAGTTAAGGTTAGTAAATAGATTAGACAAATAAAAGTAAAACCTGCTGATCTCTGTAAACTTGTTTGATTTCAGTGCAGATTTGCTGTTGGTTACAGCTTCTAGGATGTCACATTGTAAGATGATTATTTTGTGGAGTAATGGCTTTTCATCATACCACAGTTAAGATGGATTGATATTCCTGTATCTGATAGACCAACAACATTGATATTAAATCCCAAAGTACTACACTCCATTATCAGTAAACGATCAGTTGATTTGCAGTGAATCCTATTTTCATGGCGTATTATTTAATCACTCTCTTTTCATGCACAGATATTGATCCATGACCGTACTGCTGCTCCTCTGTATTAAGTGGCTATCAAGGCAAATACCATCTTCTTATCATGTTACACTTTCAGCTGCAGCACCAGTAAAAATTATCTCTTAAAGGTATTCAGCTGCATCCCAAGACATTTTTTCAAGCATCCATTTTCAATTTATGGACAGATAACTGTAAAATTTAGAATGGCACAGCTGTATAGCTGTAGCACAAGTATTCGACTGCACCTAAGGACATTTATTCAAGAAATCATTTTTCCTATTTGGTCATGTAACTGAAAAATCTAGATAGACAAAGCTCTAGATCTTTTATGGGAGTCTATGACTTATGGTGCTCCTTGAAGTTGTAACCTTGAAAAACCCTTTTGTCATCTGCTCCCATATGTTGTTGTGTCTTTCACTTAGCACGCAGAGACACTATATTTATCTATGTATATCTATTCTGTGGAATTGACTATTTCAGTCTCTGAGATTGGCAGGTAATAAACTGCACCTCTCCAGCAGTTTGTGATAATTACCATTATATGTCATTCTAAAAGCAAATAAATAGGCTATTTCCTAAAGGATCTTAGTGCAGGATGTGAATAACATTAACAATTGATTGAACTACTCTTGTTAATTTCAAAGATGCTTTTCTATCATATGTCTTAAGGCCTCAAGATTTCAAAGCTGCACGATTTTATTGATGCATTTTTTTAATGACAATTCAACATAATACGTTTTACAGATTTTTTTTTCGGTTGTCTGCAATGTCTATTTAAGACAGCAAAGTCATAGAATTGCATCATAAATTGCATCTCATCAGATTTTTTTTTATTTTTTAAGTACAGATGTCACATTGCTGTTTTTATTATTATTGTCATATACAATAAAGACTATTTTGAAATTATTATTATAATTTGAGATTAAAATCTTGAGGACTTCAACATTTATTTATTGCTTGTTAGAATGGTTTAATTTTTTTAAGTCAATAAAGCATGTTTTTCAGTCTGATGAGATTGATTAATTTTTTATTGTAGGTTGTTAGTGAAGCCAATAAAAATATCAAGATATTGCAATGCCATGGAACAGCTGACCCAGTAGTTCCATTCAAATGGGGCCAGATGACCCATGAAGCACTGAAAACCATCACACCAAATGCTGACTTCAAGCAATATGCAGGTGTCATGCACAGCTCCAGTGAACAGGTGATTTCTTTTAAAAGTTTCAAGGTTCAGATATCATGAAGCTTCATAATAGTCTCACCCACAGGAAACAGTTACACAGTAAGAAATTTAAAAAAAATACATGGTAGCTCTATGTAGAGCCATAAGAGATCAAATATTACTGGTAAAATGAACAGAAAAAAAAATTAAAATATTATTCAGATGTAAGGTAAAAGAATGGGAATTGGGAAATTTGCTTTTTGATTGGAGGACATAATAAAAATGTAGCACATTACAGTTAGGAAAAGGTAATATACTTGCTGTACAACATGTTTAAGTTAAATTGCATTTAACAACAGGTTTTGAAGATAATTTGAGCATGTATATTTTGTAGATTTTTAAAGTCCTTAAAATGACCAATTTTCTTCAATTTTAAAGAATTTCTAGATAATTAGATATAATAAGTCAGTACATCAGAATATAGAATTCAGATGAAACAAGATGTTCCCATTGACATTTATGTGTAAAAAATCAATATACTGTTTAATGTAAAAAGGCTCATCCATCATGACCATCAGTTTAAATGTTGTAGTACTTCAATTACTGTAATTACATCAAATAAGAGTGATGATTTTTTAAGTTATTATTCTATAATTAGTTATAATTATTATTATTAGCTTTATCAATTAACTTATTTTTTATTGCTCTTCAACTAATTTGTAAAACATTCCAAATTGTATAGAGTGCAATATAAGATTATATTAGAAATATTTTGAAAGAAAATGTGCTGATAGTATAAGGTTTGTATTTAGACTCATGCATTGTGGTCAAGGAGAGAGTAACAGAGTAGCCTTGAAAGACATTTATGACTAGTTAATCTTTTCACATGGATCAATAAGTCCTTTTGGCTAAAAAGTATTCCAAATGTCACCAATGTGCTTACCAGTAGGTTGTTGTAGTAGTGATGCGTAGGTTTAACCTTCTTTATGATAATATCTGCAGTTAGGTTGACATATTCATAGCTTTTATACTATGAAGCTCATTTTTCATATTTCAAATTACCAAGCTTCAGGTCTGATGAGTTCTTTTTAATTCTCTAAATTTGCATGCTTATGGGAAAATGTGACAATAAAGGAGCTGGCCTGTGCTTCCGTGGAAATTCATGCTAATACGAGATAATTATGAATAAACTTCATTTAAAGAGAGTAACACATGTTAAGTGTATACACTTATCTTACACATGGCCCTCATATGGAGGTGAATAATTCCACGTTTGTGAAATTTTCAGGTGGACAAGCTCCATTGTCCATACAGCTTAAGTAAATGTCTGGAGAGTCTGATATACGCCACGGCATAATTTATTGTATTCTTATCAATTTTGACAAATTTTACATTTCTTTTGTAGGAAATGGAAGATGTGAAGTCCTTCCTGGAGAGTACATTGCCTCCAGTATGATCTTCTTGTGGACAGCATAGAGCATCGGACAATTGACACCAGATAAACATTATTGTGAACAGTTCCAGTAGAGATAATCAATATGAAACAAATTGAAACAGTATTTCACAATGACACACCAACAGTGACACCATGGTCAATAGCTAGACATTTATGTTTATGTAGACGTTTATTGTCAAAATTCTTGAAATATCACTAGAGTGCTGTACACACTCTAGATCTATCTTGATCAATGACCAGGGTGTGGAGGCCATTAAGTCCATGACATATGTGATACTTTGTCAGTACACTTTTGGCTATTTTGATGATTTCTTATTAGAATCATTGACACCAGTATTTTGAAGATCTTTTCATATCTAGTAGTATGCGTTAATGATACTGCTGTACCGATATACTTACTGGTATACAGATAGACAACTGCTCTGTGCAAGATATTCCCATGAAAAATTCACACTTAACAAATTTCCCTGGGGTAAACTGTATTTTTTCCAACTAACAAAGCTTTGATCCTCCTTGTCTGGCACTTGCCTTAAGTCTGTAACAATCTGGGGAAATTGAAGCCCTTAACCCTCTCTCGAGCATGGATTTTTCAAATTGGGTGATCACTTTGAGCATGGATTTCTGGGTTCTGCATGATCAAAAAATTTATCAAGACAGTTGTCAGGTGGCAGGGATCATCAGGTGATAAATTAGATTATTTGGCAGCATTCATTCATGGCATTTATCTTTTAAAATGGTTTAAAAACTATTACTTGTTTTTACAGAAGTTCCTCTAGAAATGGTTTGTGTCCTTTTAAGTTAAAGATGATTAACACCATATGCTTCATCCCTATATTAGCCCGACTATTTTGAGTCACCTAAACTGAGCCCTCACTCTTGACACAGCCACGCAATAAACTTCTACCCAAATAGTGGGAAGCAAACTTGCAAAAGCCAGTTAAACCACCTGTAGCATACTTGCATGTTGGGACCTCTCAAAGTGAACCAGTACAGCAGCATTTCTAAGCATACTGCTCGATGTGAAAAGTCCTTACCATAAAACATTTAAGCAAATTTAAGTAACTTGACAATATTACTTATCATTCAGAGGTCATTCCCAAACTCTTCTTGCAGACCATGTTAATTTGATAATTAACATTTTAAAATCATATTTTGTTGGTGTTTATGATGGGTGGTTAGTTGTTCAGTGTTGATGCTACAAAGTCAACAGCTAGGTACAGCAGGTTGCTGGAAACAAGATCCAGCTATGTATGGTTCTGTGAGTAGAAAAAATCCAATCATATATGGGGTAAGTAAGGTGACACATAACATGCATATAATGAGGGTGGATTGTATGTTAAACTAAAATGCAGCAATGCTGGTAAACTGTTTCAGTTTGTAGTATGTATTTTCAGTGGCCTACAATTATGGGACAGTTTAAAATATCAAACAGAATGTTATGGGATTTTAAAGTATTAGAAAGGTTTCAAATTAGAATCAGAGTAATACAGTAAGATATTAATGCGTTGTGCATATGGTTTCAGCAGATAAAACCCCAAGCTAGAGGAAAACAATCCATGTCGAGTTTCTTGAAATTCCACTTCAAGTAAAATTGTTCCTTTTTTTTTTTTTTTGAGAACACACAAAACAAGAAAATAATCATGGTAGATGTGTTTTAAATAATTCCATTTTATGTGCATCTTTAGTGATTTTTTCTTTAACTCCTCCTTCATCTTGAATCATCAATTCATTTCTTCATTAGCAGTGTTAATGATGACAGGGATATTTTACAATAGTGACAGCTGTCTCAAAATATATTTTGCCAACTTGGTCCACACCATGAAAACTTATGGCACAGAAAAAGTAAAAAATCTTAACTTTGCAGTACAAGTCTGAAATATTTAAACCCTACACTCAAATATATTTAGTAACTTCTGTTCAGTCAGCTGATTAAGTTTAAGTACTGCCATATAACTGTCAAACATCAAACAAGAAATCTGGTGCAGACTCATGAACAGTATCTCTGGTTTATTGTAAAATTTATGAAATAATTTATGATGAGCTAAATAAATACCTGTTACATGTGTTAGTTTTTTTCTTTTACTTAATTGGATGTTTATCAACATTTTATACGCTCATATGCCATACAAGGTTTTCTAGAAGATTGTGAAACTGACAGTATATCTTGTGTACTTGAAAACAAAAATACAACCCAAAGTGGTATTTTTCAGCAATGCAATCTTTATCCAGAAATGTAAGTTAAATAACAATATGTACTGAAAACTGTTAAAACAGATCCCTACATTTTACAGTTTTTTTTTACAGGTGTCACCAAATAGGAAAAAAAGAAAAGGAATACACTTTTCTCTCCTAAGCAGTATATTCCAAAGGAAACCATAGCACATTTTATTAATCGGTTTTCATACAAGAAAAACATACTTCTGCCCTTTACCAAAGTTATTATTGGGTGGTAATATGTCATCCATTTTAACAACAAATGAAGACTTCTGCCGATATTTTACTCTGTTTGCTAGATTTACACTGCTTTCATCATAAGGTTTCAGCAAAGTATTTTCATAAAAGCAAATCTATACTGATAAGATGCTGGAGACCTGACAAGTACTATGAAATCTTTTCCAGGATTCAGCTCCAGTGCATGCAGTATGCCTTGTAGAGCACAGAATCCTCTGCCTGTGCCTCTTCCACTGGTGTACGTGAAGCCACCTGTTTTCAAATAGCCAATTACCACACGACTAGATGTCACTGCCACATCCTTGGGTTCAATCAGGGTATCCTGAAAATTATGAACTTTCACTTTGTCTGCTGTTCCTTGCTGTGTTCCTTTTTGTTTGATTTTCTGTTTCTTCACTTTCCTGCTATTAGGGTCTTGTTTCCTCTGCTCCAGTGGTCCACCATATCTACTGTCTTTTGCCAGACTGTCCAAGTCGCCTTGTGTAGGAATGCAGATCATGGAGTGGTCAGCAGGGGCCCCTCTGCTTACAAGATTCAAGGTGACAGGAACTATTGCATTGTGCATCTGTGATAATGTCAGCAGCATTTCCTGACCATCTATGCCACCTGTGCTACTGATGTCAGTCTGTGGATTTAATGAAATTTTGTCACTATTGCTCATCTCCATATTAGAAGGGGAAGATTCTGTTTCCATGCTTGCTGCATGACAAATTCTATCAAGATACTTCAAGAGATTCCGAGTCCTTAAGACAACAAATTCTTCAATTTCCTCACTATCCATTGGTTCTAGAATCTCTGCAGAAATTTGGTTAGTATGTGTCTTTTGGTCTAAACACCTGTCCAACTTCCTGGAGTCCTGTGTGATGATATTGTGATCAATAAAAGGAGCACCTTGTTTCTTTATATTAGACCACTCTTGTACCAGTCTTAACCATGGATAACTGAAAGGACTGGCCACCCCTAACTTGATGTAGTTTGGCCTCTTTGCAGGTGGGTACCTCTTGTATTTGGCTTCAAGTTCCTCCCATTCTTTGCGTTCTTCAGCAGCTCCTGCCTGGGTATCTGGGTAATCGTAAGGAATCCTAAGGAGTCCTTGGTCTACTGCACTGCTGTTCAGCTCCCTTAGCCCACCAACTCGAGCCCCCTGGTAAACTAGGGCAATCCAGAAAGCCATGCCCCACCCAGAGGGTAGGATGAGGTCCCATCCACTGCCAAACCCAGGGGAAGTATGACTCTGTAAATAGTTAATGTGGCATACTTTGTACTGGAAGAACCTACCGTTATTTAACATACAAAATTTTTAATCACTTTTAAACAATGTTAATGCAGAATTATAATAGTCAGATATAAAAGGGTAAAAAAAATACTGCACCTGTGCTGGCCCAGGACCTGTCCTTTGAAAGCCTGGACTCTGAACTAGAAGAAGTGGTATTCTTGATTCGTCATCTCCCAGATCAAGAGTTGATCCTAAAATGATAACGCCACTTTATTATACTCAACTCTGTGTGACTTGACGTGATTTTTATCTCCATGTGAAAATTTATTATATGGCATTTACTTGAATTGTGAAATATAAGTGCAATTTTTCATTTCTCCAATTATAGATTTTAACAATTTCTTGTTAAACACAAATGTCCATTATATTATTTTTATCTACCTGGTACCAACATATTCCCTTTTCTTCTGTTCAGTTCACTTTGAGGAAGCTGAGTGAATTTCACTTCATCTCTCACCATTTGGGACCAAACTGGAGAACTGGAAACCTCTGGTGTGAAGGACACAGTATTTTCTCTACACCCTGAAATGAACATTTCAGTTGCTCTTAATTTCAAATATCTAAACATGCACTGATTTCATTGAAACATTAAGCAATAATTTAGTCTTTTTATAATGCACAAATTAACAATTCATCAGAGAGATTCAAAATTTAATTACAATCTAGCCCTCCCAGTTATACCTGTGCTCTCTACATCAGTACAATCAATTACTGACTTCTTGGGTGGAATAAGTATCCTAGGGTCTCCTACTGTCAGACTGAGAATGCCACCAGATGGCGCCTGTGCTGGTGTCTGCTTCCCACACAAAATCCTCCACATTTCCTCTTGCTGGGTGGCAACCTGACTGATCTTGGGATCAGAATAATACCTCTGCCACCATTTCTTCACAGTCACACCCCGCACTGTTGAATCATCATCAGGGGCACCTGCTGGGTTTTCTTTCTGTAACTTTGCTGGTTTCAAGACCTCTGCTAATACTGATGTTGACATAGGTCCAGACAGTCTGTACCTGAGTATGTTATCTTTTAAAGACTTCACTATCACTGAACTGGTAGCCTTCGAATGTTCTTGTTGTAACTGAGAAGTATGCTTCATCTCTTTACTGTATAATTCATCTTTCCCTGAGAGACCTGATTTCAAAGCAGCTTTGAATTCAGCAAATGCTTCATCCCAAAATGATGGATGTACCCACACCCACAGAGTCCTTGTGTCATCATCCAGTGAGCAGTCAGAAAGCTCAGAAACTGTGGTTGACCCAGAAAATTCACTGGTGATCAAAGTGACAGGTTTCCAGTGGAAAAAAACCTCTCCAATAGCATTGTCTGGATAGCTGCCTCCCTTGTATAGGATGGTTGATCCTTGCCTGGTCCCCTGTATGTACCTTATGTCACCAAAAATAGGCCCTGTCAATATATATATGACATAACTATATATGAGAATTTAAATGCAATTTTAGTTGCATAAAAATCTACCATAAAGGCTTGGGTTTTTTTCTTAAACTTTACAGTTGACTCCATTGATATCTATAACAAGCAATTACCAATTCAACTATGGCCAATGGTGAATACTGACTGAGTGAACTACAAATTACCTATTTCCGAACTTGTCAGTTTCTCTAATCCATGCAGAATATCTTTCAATGGCCCAGTTATCTCAATACACCCCAAATAAGATATATCCTGCAATTAACAAGTTTACTGTCAAGATATGTAGGTAATTTTTAAATATTTTTAAATATTTTTAAATCACAAAATGTAATAAGAAACCAAAGAAAGTGCATTACAGCCAAATATATCCGAATGGCAATTTCACACTTTTAATTGCTACAGAGTGAAATACAAACACATTTAACTTCTATTCATGTTTCTATTCATTTCAAACATTTTACTGCAATATTGTTTCCTATTTTCCAGAAACTGGCTCCAAATTTCTTGACCAATATTCTGTAAAAAATGAGGCTTGTGCTAGTGACAAAAAATCATCAATTTACCTGAAGCACTGCATACTTTGATGTAGCTCTATAAATAGCTCTCAGACTCTTGTCATTCGGGAAATGAGGAATCACGTAACCCCATTTTTCAATCATATGAAACCTTTTTGCATGCCAGATGTGTGTCTCAAGCCAATTCTGTTTTCTTTGTCTACGATTATATTCTGCCATCAGATTTTTTGGTCTTCTGCGGTGGTATCTTGATGGAGTTTTAGGCTTCTTTCCAGCACTTTCAATCTTGTATGAAAAGGTAAATGCAGTTAACAGTTATCTAGATGTTGCATTAGAGCAATCCTAATCTAAAACCACTCCTTTCTAAAATGAAAATATCTGTGACAAAATCAACAAAAAATATTTAACATATTAAGGCTGTTAGAATAAGCATTTATGCATACAAAAAATTAATATTATGAATCAGACAGCTACATTTACTGAGTTAAAGAAAACTAGTCTCCTTTTCAGTTTTTAAAATACAATAAAACTGCATGTAATACAATCAATGAAAATAAGAACAAAACCCTTCAGAAAGTGGCCACTAACCTCTGCCATAGCTTGCATTCTCAGGCGTCTTGGCAGTCTTTTGATATTATGACTAGCTGCACGTCTTCTCATGTGGCGGGGCATGTTTTGTCTTGGATTTCTTTTACTGGTCTTGGACATAACAGTTTTGGTCAATAGTTCTATTTCGCTGATCCTGCTTTTGGTAAATTCACTTATATTTATCTCTGTAAATTTGAAAATATCAAATTTAGGCTTATGGTTCCATTCAAAGTATATCTTACACAAAACCTATTTATCCCCAATTTTCGGGTTAATATATACAAACAAGCAAAATGAATACTCACCCCTGGGAGCCTGACTAAGAATGCTTGTTTCATCATCACTGTCTCTCTCTCCAATTTTCCTCTTTTTACCTTGGCCCTGCCTGATGGCAGCTGTGTTTATAATTTGGTGCTTGCTCTGAGATGACTGTGATATATCTTCTTCTTTCTGAAAAAAGGCACATTTAGTATTTGAAATTATGTTGAAGTACACGTAATAAATTAGGACCTTGAACATATTCTATTCCCTATAACATGACATGAACAATTCAATCCAAATAACGCCGAGAAATCAAGGCCTAATCTTGACCTACACTCTAATGAGCATACTCCAGTACTTTTCTTACAAATTAAGTATAAAATTAAGTATAGATAATCTTTTACAGCCAAGTTATAATAGTCAAGTACCGGCATGTAGAAATAAAAACATAGAGCTCATGACTGGGGCTTATTTATAAATAGCGCCACCTTAATAAATGTTTAAGTTAAGCACAATAAGTTCACCTTCTCTTCATAATCTTTCACTTGCTGTACCACAAGTTTCTCCATGTCATCCCCTCCTCCCTGAGGATAGTAGGTCTGCTTGTATTCCTCCAAGCCATCTGCATCATAGCCGTGATTTGCAAAACTGTCCATGTCAACTGGTTTTTTATCTTTAAATAAATGAACATATACGGTTATCCCAAATTTTGTATAATTAATTTAAGGGCGCTTGATGGTTCGCAGGTTCATTGATCTGAAGGGTTCATGCATTTATATTATATGTCAATATGGGGCCCGATATGTTTCATTTTCCCTCCGAACAGGCTCCCTGAAAATACTGTGTAATTTGGACACTCAGATTCTGGACCCATGATACATGATGGGTCCAAGCTCCATGTCAGACAAGTCACAAGCGTCACCTTATTCATTCAGCTGATTTGATAAAATTCTGCCGTTTACCGTACACAAAAGGGTTGCTGAAATATAAATTAAAATTTGCACCAAGGCTTCCGTTGACTTTTCCTTGGGCAACGTACTTACTATCAATTATAAAGCACAACTTTAAAGAGTAGTCCGGGAGTTCACGTGTAAACAAATGTAAGCTACCATCTTACATCTCGCAATCTCCCGTGTGGCTTTGAAAATTTTAAATGACACAGCTGCACCATGTCATTTGCATGGAATACAAGACTATATGAAACACAATGGAGTTAATAAATTGTTTCTATAAATACAGATAGCTCTCTATAATTTCCCTGTTTTTGATAAAATTAACCAAAAATAGACAGTTTAATCACGTGACACAAGGCACGCACTGGTTCGACAACAACATCATGGCTTCGTACGTTGCTCGCAAGGTAGTTTCAACGGCTTCAGCTCCAAAAGCTATAGGTCCCTATAGGTAACATGTCTTGCTTGTGCATAAAACGTCAATCTTTAAATTTAATAACGAAGAATAGCATGACATTTTGTCCAAAGTATATTTTCGAAGTTGGCATTGCCACGCTTAGAGTTCGATAGTTATTGCAAGGCGTGAGCTGTCCAATCAGATGGTGCCGTTCGAACACACCCACATCGAACGATTCCATATATACAGTAGTTTTAACATGTGCTCTCAATGCTAATAATAATTAAGAATTTAAGATGGCAATGAAAATGGAGTTTTTGACCTTCTCAGTTTTTACCCATGAATGATTTTCTTTCAGCCAAGCTGTTATTGCTGAAAACACGATGTATATGTCAGGACAAGTGGGAATGGACCCTGCTACTGGAGAGCTGGTGGAGGGAGGGGTGCTAAAGGAGACGGAACAAGTAAGGACAAAGCCAGGATCTAAATTCATATGACATCTTTACTTTAATAATATGTCAATCAGGGGACTTAAATTAACTTCGTTTTGGCATCTTCCCACAGGATCCTCATTGACCACCTGACAAGGAAATTGTAGCAATTTTCTGTTAATTATTAATTTTTACATTTCAGGCATTTAAAAACATAAACGCAGTACTTGAGGCAGCTGGCTGTAGCTTCAACAATAGTAAGTGTACAAAAAATAATATTTGCCTGAGAAATATGTTTGTTTATACTGTTTCTTCAATGTATTCAGGGAGTGGCTATATTTTCTTGGTTTTATATGAAATATCTACTGTGAAAAGTTTCATGAGATAACATTACTTTAACTTTTTTCCAGTTGTTAAAACCACTGTTTTCCTGGCAGACATCAGGGAGTATACAGCAGTAAATGAAGTCTATGCTAAATGTAAGAATTAAAAATTTATTGCATTTTATTCAAAATGGCTATGAAGGACTTTTAGCTACAGTACAATATCCTTAATATGTGTGTGTGTGTGTGTGTTTTTTTTTTTTTTTTTTCAATTTTTCCAAGAATTTGAAATGTCACTTTGATTATTTTTAACTGAGTATTTTTATATTACAGACTTCAGTGGTTCATTATTTTTAACTGAGTATTTTTATATTACAGACTTCAGTGGTTCATTCCCAGCAAGGTCTGCCTTCCAAGTTGCTGCACTTCCTAAAGTAAGTGCTCCTAGCACTGAAGGCATAAAACTTATAAAGCTTTTAAGAAAATTATCAAAGAATGTGTCTTAATGGACATATGGCTTAATGGAGTGAATGTGTATGTACTTGTGATGAATAATAAGTACCAGAAATGTGCAGTGATCACAAATAATCTCTGGTTAAATTTTAAAAATGCCTTTGTGCTCTTTTCTAAAAAGCTCTCCCTACAAAAGTATCATGGTATTCTGTTTTCTAGGGGGCCAGAATTGAAATAGAGTGCATTGCTAAGATTGGACACATGGTGGACCATCAGCCTAAGCTCTAATTCATTAAGATTGGGACCAGTCCTATCTTTTAGGACTTTTCATGTTTTGGTTTTATGTGGTGAACAGACAAACATGGATTATGATGATGACTACTGCCATTGAAACTATACCACAGTTATAATTAATTTGGCACAGTTTAAACTGAGAATTCAGTGTTTCGAACACAGCTGCTTAACTCCAGTTCATCAATATTGCAAATATTACAGATATTGTTATTTTGTTGTTTAGGCTTAAAGTATATAAATATTAATTGAAATCAATTTTATCATTAACATATTAAAATCTTGCTCATGCAGTAAGAACACTGATTAAAAGAACTTAAGGCATTCAATGTCGTATACTTGTTATATTATAAGCTGCCCATTTATTGCATTTGAAATAGCACAATAATGCACAATATCGATTTAAGTCATAGACTTAAAGTGTGTCACTTATTATGAAGGGAATGAATTAGATATATATGTATATATATATTTTGTTTTTGGTATTAAATTTTGTCTGCAAATATTATAAATCGGCTGTCAGAGTAAGCAATTTCTTATACAGAAAATAAAGTAACACTATTTTACATGCATGTTATTAACATTCTTGATGTTACTTTTTGTTTTGCCTCAAGATAAAATGCAATCCGTTAATCTTTCATTTCAACAAATTGATATATTTTCAAAAATCCACTTGATACTTGGTGAGCTTGGAAACAAGTGATTGTCTATGCATCAGCTTTCATAATAACATGATCAAGTTTTTTAAAAGTAAATATGAATGTTTGCTTGACTTAGTATACACATAAGCACAACTTTATCTTTGTAAGCCATGTACTAATTGTGTAGGTGAGTAGACTTGGAAAAGAAGAAAAAGATGCAGTGAAGTAAATGAAAAAAATTGTAAGGGTTACTTATTTATAATGACAGAAGGAATGCGAGGCAGGAGCACAGGGTACAAGGTATACTTGTCATTGTCATAGACAAAGTAGGAGAACAGCCTTTGCTTTTAAGTAAACAATGGCAAGTTGCAGTAGGGACAGTGTTGGGCCATCTTTCACTAAATTTGTTATAGACCATATTACATGTGTGATTAGTAAGGATATTTCACTTTTTTCATTAATTCTGCAATAATATGATGTGTATGAACTCTTACACAAATCACTGTTATTTACTGCATTGCATCATTTCTTTCCAAGTGCCTTTACCATTTAACCTTGACAGAGTCCTATAACAATACTGCATTGTTATTGTTGACTGCATCATTTAATGCAGCTGTAATATGATATAAAAAAGGAACAATTTAAACTTATGTTGGAAATAAATTAAGTTTATAAATTGACACATAATCTCATTGTATCAAAAATTACCTGTGACTGAAGGCAGAATATTAGTTTCAAATACTTTTTAGTATCGAAGACTTCAGGAATGTCTTATCAAGCTGGAACCACAGGGATCATAAATTCATGGAACTAAATATAGGAATGCCACAATTGAAAAAATTGTCAAGTTTTTGGAGAATTCCATCATGGCTGAAGCAGAGGGTGTTGTTAGAGGTGGTGTCATTTTTGTAGAGGAAGCTGTAGTTTCTGTTGACGAAATATTGTTGTGACCCATGGTTGTTGTCATGCCAGAAGTATGGGCTGCGGTTGTTGTCATGATGGAAGAACGGGTCGCAGTTGTTGTCATGATGGAAGTATGGGATGTGGTGTTCGGTATCACTGTTGTTGTAACGGGAATGGCCGAGGACATATTTGACATGTGAATGGTTGTTAAATTGATTGGCAATGCTGAAGTGATATTTTGAATTGGGATTACGGTTGTTACAGACTGATTGCACCCCATGTACAGAAGCCTATTGGGTGTCCCCGGGGTGACCTTCAACACATCCTTAGTTGATTCATCTATCAGCCATGTCTTCACCTGAGCTGGAGAAGGCATGGTAGCTTGGGTTGCTAGGTAACGTGCCACAACACCAGTCACATGGGCTGCTGCAACAGAGGTTCCATTTATGCGGGTACCCACAGACCCTTTTTTAGCACCATCTGACCACACTAGAACACCTGGTGCTAGGATATCAACACATAAACCATAGTTACTTCTCTCCCACATGACATCTTTACTGTTCATTGCCCCAACAGTAATAACCTCAGTCATATTTGCAGGGAAGACTTTACAAGCATTTTCACGCAAGTTCCCAGCCCCTACCACTATAGGCAATGCCTGGTGGCCAATAATATTGCTGATTGCTCTGCTAAGTGCATTGGATTTCACTTTTGATGCAACCGGAAGATTGATAACGGACTTTGCCAGGGAACTATTGGATTCCTTTGACAAATTTGTGTGGTGAGCAGCAATCCAGTTTAAAGCAGCAAGAACATTGGAATTTTTCAGCTGGTCATTTGTGCCGTTTCCAGCTTTTATCATCATGGCTTTACTTTTGCGTGCTATGCCAAACCAAGAAGAAACTACTATGCCAGTGGTATGTTCCCCATGGCCATTGTTGTCTTTTAAGTCTTGTTGTCTCCCAGATACGTCAGGACCTTGTAATACACGCCCTTTCAAGTCATCTCTCCATTCCAAGTTCACCCCAGTATCAACAAGGTATACAAGAACACCATCCCCAGACTCCTCCTCGTATACATATTTGGTGTCAGTAGTTTTCGATCTTTGGCTAATTCTGGCAAGGCCCCAAACAGAGAAAGCACCTGAGACAGTTTCTGCATACATACAAGTACTGGTCAGGTTAAGCCACAGGTTGTCTTCAATGCTTTCCACAGAACTGTCGTTATTCAACAAGGAGAGAAGACTGGAGTTGGTGGTCTCAAATGCCACCCCGAGAAAGTCTCCAATGTGATATGTGTGGCTCAGGTTGGTGTTACCAGTGGTACTGGAATTAGTTATCAGGGTGGTCAGCCTCTCAAGCTCTTGGACTGAGTTGGGAAGCCCTTCTTTCAAACTAGCAATGTATTCACCAGGAATCTGGGCATCTGTATGGCTTAGTAATACTTCAAGGAANATCTGAAGCCACCTGTTTTCAAATAGCCAATTACCACACGACTAGATGTCACTGCCACATCCTTGGGTTCAATCAGGGTATCCTGAAAATTATGAACTTTCACTTTGTCTGCTGTTCCTTGCTGTGTTCCTTTTTGTTTGATTTTCTGTTTCTTCACTTTCCTGCTATTAGGGTCTTGTTTCCTCTGCTCCAGTGGTCCACCATATCTACTGTCTTTTGCCAGACTGTCCAAGTCGCCTTGTGTAGGAATGCAGATCATGGAGTGGTCAACAGGGGCCCCTCTGCTTACAAGATTCAAGGTGACAGGAACTATTGCATTGTGCATCTGTGATAATGTCAGCAGCATTTCCTGACCATCTATGCCACCTGTGCTACTGATGTCAGTCTGTGGATTTAATGAAATTTTGTCACTATTGCTCATCTCCATATTAGAAGGGGAAGATTCTGTTTCCATGCTTGCTGCATGACAAATTCTATCAAGATACTTCAAGAGATTCCGAGTCCTTAAGACAACAAATTCTTCAATTTCCTCACTATCCATTGGTTCTAGAATCTCTGCAGAAATTTGGTTAGTATGTGTCTTTTGGTCTAAACACCTGTCCAACTTCCTGGAGTCCTGTGTGATGATATTGTGATCAATAAAAGGAGCACCTTGTTTCTTTATATTAGACCACTCTTGTACCAGTCTTAACCATGGATAACTGAAAGGACTGGCCACCCCTAACTTGATGTAGTTTGGCCTCTTTGCAGGTGGGTACCTCTTGTATTTGGCTTCAAGTTCCTCCCATTCTTTGCGTTCTTCAGCAGCTCCTGCCTGGGTATCTGGGTAATCGTAAGGAATCCTAAGGAGTCCTTGGTCCACTGCACTGCGGTTCAGCTCCCTTAGCCCACCAACTCTAGCCCCCTGGTACACTAGGGCAATCCAGAAAGCCATGCCCCACCCAGAGGGTAGGATGATGTCCCATCCACTGCCAAACCCAGGGGAGGTATGACTCTGTAAATAGTTAATGTGGCATATTTATGCTGTAAAGAGCTACCATTATTTAACATACAAATTTTTTTATCACTTTTAAACAATGTTTATGCAGAATTATAGTCAGACCAAAAAGAGTAAAATGTTAGTACCTGTGCTGGCCCAGAACCTGACCTTTGAAAGCCTGGACACTGAATTAGAAGAAGCGGTATTCTTGATTCGTCATCTCCCAGATCCAGAGTTGATCCTAAAATGGTAACACTACTTTATCATACTCAACTCTGTGTGACTTAACAGGCTTTTTATGTCCTCGTGAAAATTTGTTATATGGCATTTACTTGAATTGTGATATCAAGTGTAAGTGTAAATTTTCATTTCTTCAATTATGAAGACAATTTCAGGCTAGCAACCCCCTTTATTTCCATTGCTTATTGATTATTTTGTTGTATCACTTCTTGCATATATTCAGCATATAGCACCTTGTTACACACAAATGCCCTTTCATTTACTTCTATCTACCTGGTACCAACATATTCCCTTTTCTTCCGTTTAGTTCACTTTGAGGAAGCTGAGTGAATTTCACTTCATCTCTCACCATTTGGGACCAAACTGGAGAACTGGAAACCTCTGGTGTGAAGGACACAGTATTTTCTCTACACCCTGAAATGAACATTTCAGTTGCTCTTAATTTCAAATATCTAAACATGAATTGATTTCATTGAAACATTAAGCAATAAATTAGTCTTCTTATAATGCACAAATTAACAATTCATCAGAGAGATTCAAAATTTAATTACAATCTAGCCCTCCCAGTTATACCTGTGCTCTCTACATCAGTACAACCAATTACTGACTTCTTGGGTGGAATAAGTATCCTAGGGTCTCTGACTGTCAGACTGAAAATGCCACCAGATGGCGCCTGTGCTGGTGTCTGCTTCCCACACAAAATCCTCCACATTTCCTCTTGCTGGGTGGCAACCTGACTGATCTTGGGATCAGAATAATACCTCTGCCACCATTTCTTCACAGTCACACCCTGCACTGTTGAATCATCATCAGGGGCACCTGCTGGGTTTTCTTTCTGTAACTTTGCTGGTTTCAAGACCTCTGCTAATACTAATGTTGACATAGGTCCAGACAGTCTGTACCTGAGTATGTTATCTTTTAAAGACTTCACTATCACTGAACTGGTAGCCTTCGAATGTTCTTGTTGTAACTGAGAAGTATGCTTCATCTCTTTACTGTATAATTCATCTTTCCCTGAGAGACCTGATTTCAAAGCAGCTTTGAATTCAGCAAATGCTTCATCCCAAAATGATGGATGTACCCACACCCACAGAGTCCTTGTTTCATCATCCAATGAGCAGTCAGAAAGCTCAGAAACTGTGGTTGACCCAGAAAATTCACTGGTGATCAAAGTGACAGGTTTCCAGTGGAAAAGAACCTCTCCAATAGCATTGTCTGGATAGCTGCCTTCCTTGTATAGGATGGTTGATCCTTGCCTGGTCCCTTGTATGTACTTCATGTCACCAAAAATAGGCCCTGTCAATGTACATCACTATAACTATATATGAGAATTTAAATGCAATTTTAGTTGCATAAAAATCTACCATAAAGGCTTGGGTTTTTTTTCTTAAACTTTACAGTTGACTCCATTGATTTCTATAACAAGCAATTACCAATTCAACTATGGCCAATGGTGAATACTGACTGAGTGAAAACTTCTCTTCTTACATGCACCACAAATTACCTATTCCCGAACTTGTCAGTTTCTCTAATCCATGCAGAATATCTTTCAATGGCCCAGTAATCTCAATACACCCCAAATAAGATATATCCTGCAATTAACAAGTTTACTGTCAAGATATGTAGGTAATTTTTAAATATTTTTAAATCACAAAATGTAATAAGAAACCAAAGAAAGTGCGTTACAGCCAAATATATCCCAATGGCTATTTCACACTTTCAATTGCTACAGAGTGAAATACAAACACATTTAACTTCTATTCATGTTTCTATTCATTTCAAACATTTTACTGCAATATTGTTTCCTATTTTCCAGAAACTGGCTCCAAATTTCTTGTCCAATATTCTGTAAAAAATGAGGCTTGTGCTAGTGACAAAAAATCATCGTCAATTTACCTGAAGCACTGCATACTTTGATGTAGCTCTATAAATAGCTCTCAGACTCTTGTCATTCGGGAAATGAGGAATCACGTAACCCCATTTTTCAATCATATGAAACCTTTTTGCATGCCAGATGTGTGTCTCAAGCCAATTCTGTTTTCTTTGTCTACGATTATATTCTGCCATCAGATTTTTTGGTCTTCTGCGGTGGTATCTTGATGGAGTTTTAGGCTTCTTTCCAGCACTTTCAATCTTGTATGAAAAGGTAAATGCAGTTAACAGTTATCTAGATGTTGCATTAGAGCAATCCTAATCTAAAACCACTCCTTTCTAAAATGCAAATATCTGTGACAAAATCAACAAAAAATATTTAACATATTAAGGCTGTTAGAATAAGCATTTATGCATACAAAAAATTAATATTATGAATCAGACAGCTACATTTGCTGAGTTAAAGAAAACTAGTTTCCTTTTCAGTTTTTAAAATACAATAAAACTGCATGTAATACAATCGATGAAAATAAGAACAAAACCCTTCAGAAAGTGGCCACTAACCTCTGCCATAGCTTGCATTCTCAGGCGTCTTGGCAGTCTTTTGATATTATGACTAGCTGCACGTCTTCTCATGTGGCGGGGCATGTTTTGTCTTGGATTTCTTTTACTGGTCTTGGACATAACAGTTTTGGTCAATAGTTCTATTTCGCTGATCCTGCTTTTGGTAAATTCACTTATATTTATCTCTGTAAATTTGAAAAGTTTATTTAGGCTTATGGTTCCATTCAAAGTATATCTTACACAAAACCTATTTATCCCCAATTTTCGGGTTAATATATAAACAAGCAAAATGAATACTCACCCCTGGGAGCCTGACTAAGAATGCTTGTTTCATCATCACTGTCTCTCTCTCCAATTTTCCTCTTTCTACCTTGGCCCTGCCTGATGGCAGCTGTGTTTATAATTTGGTGCTTGCTCTGAGATGACTGTGATATATCTTCTTCTTTCTGAAAAAAGGCACATGTAGTATTTGAAATTATGTTGAAGTACACGTAATAAATTAGGACCTTGAACATATTCTATTCCCTATAACATGACATGAACAATTCAATCCAAATAACACTGAGAAATCAAGGCCTAATCTTGACCTACACTCTAATGAGCATACTCCAGAACTTTTCTTACAAATTAAGTATAAAATTAAGTATAGATAATCTTTTACAGCCAAGTTATAATAGTCAAGTACCAGCATGTAGAAATGAAAACATAGAGCTCATGACTGAGGCTTATTTATAAATAGCGCCACCTTAATAAATGTTTAAGTTAAGCACAATAATTTCACCTTCTCTTCATAATCTTTCACTTGCTGTACCACAAGTTTCTCCATGTCATCCCCTCCTCCCTGAGGATAGTAGGTCTGCTTGTATTCCTCCAAGCCATCTGCATCATAGCCGTGACTTGCAAAACTGTCCATGTCAACTGGTTTTTTATCTTAAAATAAATGAACATATACGGTTATACCAAATTTTGTATAAATTAATTCAAGGGCCCTTGATGGTTCGCAGGTTCATTGATCTGAAGGGTTCATGCATTTATATTATATGTCAAAATGGGGCCCGATATGTTTCATTTTCCCTCCAAACAGCTTCCTTGAAAATATTGTGCAATTTGGACACTCAGATTCTGGACCCATGATACATGATAGGTTCAAGCTCCATGTCGATAGGTAGATCACAATCCGCTAGGGGCGCTACAGTCGTAACTATCCACGGGCAGTGAAGTGTAAAACTGAAGTCGGCCTGCTGACAGTTCGCCTATGGAACCCCTTTTTTAAATCTCTCTTTTAGCGCCGCGTAAAAAAACTAATACAAGCCATTAACTAAATAAGTTGTAAATCAAAGAGTAAAATCCGGTCACGTGATTTTCCCATGTTTTCTGTCTTTGACAAGTTTCGGTTCTGCTTGTTTTAAGTTTTGCCTCTACAAAATGCTAAAAAATTTCAGGCAAGTGCTGGTATCATCTTTTTGAAATTTATATCCAGCAAAGTTTATGAAATTTGCTATATTATGTAGAAAAATCATGAAATTTGAAGGTTGCGAAGTATAGTTAATTTAATCCGCAATATTACATGATGTGAAAATTATCACAGGGAAATAGCTTTGCCCTGATTAGTCACAGGCTATGTGAGCCAGACAATAGGCTGAGCACACAAAGACACACAGGGTGCTCTGCTGCGCCTGAGTGATCACTGCTGGTCAGTGGGCACAGGTTTTGAGCTGAGAAGTGTGGACACTTTTGGTGGATTTTTGCAGTTAAAAAACTTCAATATCTTTGTTGCTTGTAGGAATATTTAAAAAATTCCAAATGATTTCATCCGGTTTTTGCATTACCTTTCAGATGATATAAGTATTTTAATTTTCTGATCAGTTTGAAAATTTTTCTGATATACCTAATGTCGAACAAGCGTAACCTTATTCATTCAGCTGGTTTGATAAATTTTTGCCCTTTACGGTACACAACGAGGTGGCTGAAATATAAATTAAAATTTGCACCAAGACTCCCGTGGACTTTTCCTTGGACAACGTACTTACTGTCAATTATAAAGCACAACTTTAAAGAGTAGACCGGGAGTTCACGTGTAAACAAATGTAAGCTACCATCTTACATCTCGCAATATCCCGTGTGGCTTTGAAAATTTTATATGACACACCATGTCATTTGCATGGAATACAAGACTATATGAAACACAATGGAGTTAATAAATTGTTTCTATAAATACAGATAGCTCTCTATAATTTCCCTGTTTTTGATAAAATTAACCAAAAATAGACAGTTTAATCACGTGACAGAAGGCACGCACTGGTTCGACAACAACATCATGGCTTCATACGTTGCTCGCAAGGTAGTTTCAACGGCTGCAGCTCCAAAAGCTATAGGTCCCTATAGGTAACATGTCTTGCTTGTGCATAAAACGTCAATCTTTAAATTTTATAACGAAGAATAGCATGACATTTTGTCCAAAGTACTTTTTCGAAGATGGCATTGCCACGCTTAGAGTTCGATAGTTAATGCAAGGCGTGAGCTGTCCAATCAGATGGTGCCGTTCGAACACACCCACATCGAACGATTCCATACAGTAGTTTTAACATGTGCTCTCAATGCTAATAATAATTAAGAATTTAAGATGGCAATGAAAATGGAGTTTTTGACCTTCTCAGTTTTTACCCATGGATGATTTTCTTTCAGCCAAGCTGTTATTGCTGAAAACACGATGTATATGTCAGGACAAGTGGGAATGGACCCTGCTACTGGAGAGCTGGTGGAGGGAGGGGTGCTAAAGGAGACGGAACAAGTAAGGACAAAGCCAGGATCTAAATTCATATGACATCTTTACTTTAATAATATGCCAATCAGGGGACTTAAATTAACTTCTTTTTGGCATCTTCCCACAGGATCCTCGAGCTCATTGACCACCTGACAAGGAAATTGTAGCGATTTTCTGTTAATTATTAATTTTTACATTTCAGGCATTTAAAAACATAAACGCAGTACTTGAGGCAGCTGGCTGTAGCTTCAACAATAGTAAGTGTACAAAAAGTAATATTTGCCTGAGTAATATGTGCATGTTTGTACTGTTTCTTTAATGTATTCAGGGAGTGGCTATATTTTCTCTGTTTTATATGTATATCTACTCTACAAAAAATTTCATGAGATAACTTTATCTTTTTTCCAGTTGTTAAAACCACTGTTTTCCTGGCAGACATCAAGGAATATGCAGCAGTGAATGAAGTCTATGCTAAATGTAAGAATTAAAAATTTTATTGCATTTTATTCAAAATGGCTATGAAGGACTTTTAGCTACAATATGTTGTTGTTGTTGTTTTTTTTTTCAATTTTCCAAGAATATGAAATGTCAATTTGATCATTTTAACTGATTATTTTTATGTTACAGACTTTAGTGGTTCATTCCCAGCAAGGTCTGCCTTCCAAGTTGCTGCACTTCCTAAAGTAAGTGCTCCTAGTACTAAAGGCATAAAACTAATAAAGCTTTTAAGAAAGTTATCAAAGGATGTGTCACCTTCACATATGGCTAAATGGAGTGAATGTGTATGTACTTGTGATGAATAATAAGTACCAGAAATGTGCAGTGATCATAAATAATCTGTGTTAAATTTAAAAAAATGCTTTTTTGTTCTTTTCTTAAAGCTCTCCCTACAAAAGTATCATGGTATTCTGTTCTGTTTTTTAGGGGGCCAGAATTGAAATAGAGTGCATTGCTAAGATTGGACACATGGTGGACCATCAGCCTAAGCTCTAATTCATTAAGATTGGGATCAGTCCTGTCTTTTAGGACTTTTCATGTTTTGATTTTATGTGGTGAACAGACAAACATGGATTATGATGATGACTACTGCCATTGAAACTATACCACAGTTATAATTAATATGGCACTGTTTAAACTGAGAATTCAGTGTTTCGAACACAGCTGCATAACTCCAGTTCATCAATATTACAAGTGCTTAGGCTTAAAGTATATAATATTATTTGAAATCACTTTTTATCATTAACATATTCAAATCTTGCTCATGCAGTAAAAATGCTGGTTAAAAGAACATAAGGCACTTAATGTCATATACTTGTTATATTATAAGCTGGCCATTTATTGCATTTGAAAAAGCACATTAATGCACAATATCAATTTAAGTCATAGACTTAAAGTGTGTCACTTGTTATGAAGAGAATGAATAAGATTTTTTCTGGTATTAAATATTGTCTATGTATATATATTATAAATCAGCTGTCAGAGTAAGCAATTTCTGATACAGAAAATAAAATAACACTATTTTACATGCATGTTATTAACATTCTTGATGTTACTTTTTGTTTTGCCACAAGATAAAGTAATTTGTTAAAAACCATATTACGTGTGATAAGTAAGGATATTTTACTTTTTTCATCAATTCTGCAATAATATGTGTATGAACCCTTACACAAACCATTGTTATTTACTGCATTGCATCAATATATTTCCAAATCTTTTAATCTTGACAGAGTCCTAATTTTTCATGCCTGCTGTTATTATAACGATACTGCATTGTTATTGTTGACTGCATCATATAATACAGTTGTTATATGATATAAAAAGGGAACAATTTAAACTTATATTGGAAATAAATTAAGTTTATAAATTGACACATAATCTCATTGTATCAAAAATTACCTGTGACTAGATTAGTTTCAAATCCTAACATTGAAGCCTTCAGGAATGTCTTATCAAGCTGGAACCACAGGGATCATAAATTCATGGAACTAAATATAGGAATGCCATTATTGAAAAGATTGTCAATCTTTTGGAGAATTCCATCATGGCTGAAGAAGAGGGTGTTGTTGGAGGCGGTGTCATTGTTGTAGAGGAAGCCGTAGTTTCTGTTGACGATATATTGGACACTGAGGTTGTTTTGTTGTGATCCATGGTTGTTGTCATGATAGAAGTATGTGCTGCGGTTGTTGTCATGCCAGAAGTATGGGCTGCAGTTGTTGTCATGCTGGAATTATGGGATGTGGTGTTCGGCATCACTGTTGTTGTAACGGGAATGGCCGTGGACATATTTGACATGTGAATTGTCGTTAAATTGATTGGCAATGCTGAAGTGATATTTTGAATTGGAATTACGGTCGTTACAGACTGATTGCACCCCATGTACAGAAGCCTATTGGGTGTCCCTGGGGTGACCTTTAACACATCCTTAGTTGATTCATCTATCAGCCATGTCTTCACCTGAGCTGGAGAAGGCATGGTAGCTTGGGTTGCTAGGTAACGTGCCACAACACCAGTCACATGGGCAGCAGCAACAGAGGTTCCATTTCTGTAGGTACCCACAGACCCTGGTAGAGAATCATCTGACCACACTTGAACACCTGGTGCTAGGATATCAACACAGAAGCCATAGTTACTTTTCTCCCACATGTTGTCTTCACTGTCCATTGCCCCAACAGTAATAACTTCAGTCATATTTGCAGGGAAGACTTTACAAGCATTTTCAAGCGAGTTCCCAGCCCCTACCACTATAGGTAATGCCTGGTGGCCAACAATATTGCTGATTGCTCTGCTAAGTGCATTTGATTTCAACTTTGATGCAACCGGGAGATTGATGACAGACTTTGCCAGGGAACTATTGGATTCCTTTGACAAGTTTGTGTGGTGAGCGGCAATCCATTTTAAAGCAGCAAGAACATTGGAATTTTTCAGCCTGTCATTTGTATCATCTCCAGCTTTTATCATTATGGCTGTACTGTTGCGTGCTATGCCAAACCGAGAAGAAACTACTATGCCAGCGGTATGTTCCCCATGGCCATTGCTGTCTCTTAAACCTTGTTGACTCCTAGATACATCTGGCCCTTGTATTACACGCCCCCCAAAATCATGTCTCAAGTTTACCCCAGTATCAACAAGGTATACAAGAACACCATCTCCAGACTCCTCCTCATATACATATTGGGTGTTAGTAGTTTTCGATCTTTGACTGATTCTGGCAAGGCCCCAAACAGAGGCAAAATTCCAGACAGTGTCTGCATACATACAAGTACTGGTCAGGTTAAGCCACAGGTTGTTTTCAATGCTTTCCACAGAACTGTCATTCTTCAACAAGGAGAGAAGACTGGAGTTGGTGGTCTCTGCCACCCCGAGAAAGTCTCCAATGTGATATGTGTGGCTCAGGTTGGTGTTACCAGTGGTACTGGAATTGGTTATCAGGGTGGTCAGCCTCTCAAGTTCTTGGACTGAGTTGGGAAGCCCTTCTTTCAAACTAGCGATGTATTCACCAGGAATCTGGCCATCTGTATGGCTTAGTAATACTTCAAGGACGATGACCAATATGAAAAACATCTTGCCAGGCATGTTTTCAGTCACCTGATATGAAAAGAAAAAGGTTTCACTTTCACTTTGTGAAGTCTGTTATACAGGATTCACATGATAAGTAGTCATTAAATACACTGAACTGCTGTCCAGAAAGGCTTTTCAATTTTCACAAAAGCTGAGATGTCTTTTAGTTAGATTTACCTTCTTTTTGAAAAGTTGAGGAGGTGGAGTGCCCATCCCAGTCCTTCTGCAAATGCTCAATGGCTGCATATATGTTTGCCTTTTGATACTGTTACATGAACACCAAATATAATTTTTATACAGGGATTTTACTTTGAAAATGTTATATTTTCATTTTTTGTATTGTGGCCCAAAAGATGCTGTTATATTTAAATAACTGGAACTCCATTTCAAATTTTGTTTGTAGCATCACTGTGCTTGTAACAGCCAGGAAGCAAGAAGAAATAGTAATTTTGTACAATTTAGGAATTTTACAGTAACAGGTAGGTGCTGGGTTATCAAGGAGGTGCTTGAAGGCAAAGCTCAATTTAAACAAAACAATGCAGCTGGTGCTGTGACTGTACTCGTGCTATTAAGTTACATTCTTATCACTCTGAAGGTCACATATCAAGCCACTCAAAGATAAGACATAGCCCGTGTCATCAACATATTCCTTCCACAAACAAATTTTGTCATGCTTGTCAAATCAGTTTTTAAATTCCCAAAAGAATTTTAAAGTAAGAATCTCATGTAGGAAATTTAATTTGGTGAAAATAACTGCTACTTGCCAGTAACATAATTTCCTCAGCCAATGATATTTCATCAAATATTTTGTTAGCATACATGCATGTCTGTTAAAAACTTCTTTTTGCATGTAAGATCCACCATGTTGTAATATAGTACAAAATACAAGACGAACATTATCCATCCTTCAATTTTTATTTAAGCAGCACATTTGTATAAAACACTTTAATCAGTTTTTCCTGATTCAGTCTAACTGCAATCTAAATGTAACACATACACAAAACTACAACATCTTTCATGCAATTTTCTTTGCTTACTTCAATAAAGATTGTACAGGAAGGCAATGAATCTGTTTAAGAAAATCTACAAGTATGCAATGACACAAGAAAGACACCATTAAAACTTGGAAATTCATCTGAAAATCTGAGGGAAAATGCAAGTATTATATATATTAAGTGCACAACTTGTCCTTACCATGCTAAATTTAAATAATTTTCATCAAACCTATACACAATTCAGTCATACTTTAAAATATATTATAAATTCCATAATATTAATACAGGATTCTAATAAAATCTGTAAATAACTGTAACAAATAATCTGATATAACAAAACGTGAACTTTCTACAGTTAATCAAGGAATGCATTTGTAAATTAAAAAAGCTAGTTATGACAGATGACCTTGTTGTGGAATGGTAGTTCAGCTCTAACATACAAAGGTATTCAGACAAGAACAGGGAAGGGTTTTGACAGGTGACTGATTGTCAACTAATTGGCAACCTTTTCAATTCCATGAAAAGATCATGCATAGTACATCCATATCTGCAAACTTGAAAATCAGAAGCTCCTCACCAACCAGCAATGCCTCTAACACTTTTAAAGTTGAAGTGTACTGGAAGCCACTTTTGTGCTACATTACAAAGGCACATCTACTCATGTTAACAATCACCATTTCAATCTCTCAAATATAAACAAATGCAAGTTAAAAATAGCCTGAGAACAAAACATGGAGAAAAGATCTGGCACTGGACAAACTAAATGTTCATTTCTTTTATCTGCACTTTTTATCAATGACTCTCTACCTAAGTATCCTGGCAGCAAAACCTGTCACTTTTATGACAGACCACTCATTTCTGTTCAAATACCTGACTATCAAACTACTACAAAACTATAGTTCTTTTTATCTCTGAACTCTCTGCAACCACAGAGTGTCTTAACTGCAATTAAATTCACACACTGCATCCTTACGCCCAAGTTGTATTCTTATACAGAGGAATTTACAGTCATTGCATTTCCATGTCCGGTGAGCCACAATGGCAGTCTACAATGAAAAGCCACGTCTTTGGCAAATGCTACATCAAACTAAGTCCACCTAGCGAGACTGGGCAGTGACAACGAAGACAGTCTGTATTCCTAACTTAGTATCTGGACATCGAGAAAGTGTGTATTTGACCAGTTACCAGAGTCCCTGGGACGCTCCACCAGGTGGGTTCACAGATCGTGTATGTGGTCGGTACGGACGTGAATCATCAAACTGATCCCCTGGAGTAAAAAGTTAACAGCTTGTCAAAATTTTAATTAAGGGAGGGGGGGCTTGTTACCATCAAGCCAAAATACAAGTGTTATTCAATAATTTTTTAATAATATACTTCATTAACACAAATTAATTGGACACATCTTAAAAGTTGCTGCTGTGTCATAATTTAATTATCAATTTTAAATTGTTTTTATAATTTTTTCTAGACCTAGCTCTAATTCACACCAAATCCCATTCTTTCTACAGAGCCTAAGCATGCATTACAATAAGCATAAGCATGCTGTAGAAAGCAATCCTTCCTTACTGTGAGTGTTGATCCCCTTACCAGCTAATGTAAAACTGGAATCTTGTAAATTCCTTCCACCGCTGCGTGTGGGTGGGCGGTTATGGAAGGCCTGCTCTTCCTTGTCCACGTGAGCCGCACTCTCGGTCTGCTGAGCTGTCTTGCTTATTTCAACAACAGGGCCACCATAGGCTTCACGTTCAACTTTCTGTGGCTTCTTTGCCTGGAAATATTCATTATTTGTTCATGATAAATTATTTCCATAGAGACCATCCATAATTTGTTCAGAATATATCAATTCCAAACCCAATGGGAAAATAATTATGATAACTGGAGGTGGTAACTGCCATAGTAAGTATGATATATCACATTACCATTATCAAAATCAATCACTAATGTGATAATCTATCAAAGACAGTAACTTGTCCTTCAGCTCTGTATCAAGAAGTACCATATGCTTACATTTTCTCTTCCTGCTACCCTTCCATACACAAACTCTGCATTAGGTGGAGTTGGAATGAAGCGCCCAATGCCCTGAACAACATGAAGCTGGAACAGAAACAAAACAATAACAACTTGACACCATGAATATTTCTTTTTGTGTATGGATCACCATATCAATCAACACAATAAAATCTTATTTCATTCCTTGCCTCAGTATCTTGTATTTAATCATAACACCAAATTATCTTTTTTCTCTACTCTTATCCAAACTCCACAATGCATAATTCTCAAATTATACAATTAAAGTAGAAAACAGCAATAAAAACATTACACTTTTTTAAAGACACCTCCCATACCTGTCCATCCTCTAGAACTATTCTTCCATTGGCTATAACAACCTCTGCTACACCATGACACTCCATGCCCTCAAAGATGTTGAAGTCCACAGCCTGGTGGTGCGTCTTGGCTGAGATCACCCTGGTGGCATTAGGGTTCCAGATGACTAAGTCTGCATCAGATCCAACTGCTATTCTACCCTACATGGCAGCAACAAAAACATCCTTCATGTTGGATTCAAAAATATGGTTTTAATTGCTAAATGTGAAGTATTTTACCTAACCTATGGTTTTTATAGTGATTAGCTGGCAACTTTATGAGAAATATGCTACTTCATATCATCATTTTTATTTTTGGCTTAGTTTTATTTCACAAAGAATTATACATTATAGAATTATATATATTATAGTCTAAATAAAAACTGGGACTTACACAGAAGACAAAAATTATGGCACTCACTGGCATAATATTAAAACAAATTAAATAGCTCTAATGAAATACCAATAATAGAGAAAAATTAATACCTTTCTTGGGTAAATATTGAAAATTTTGGCAGCATTGGTACTTGTAACAGCAACAAAGCGACAAGGATCCATCTTACCAGTGTGCTGAAATAAAGCAGAATATAAAGCTAATTATCAGTGGCTTGTACATTTGTAACTGTACATTCATAAACATTCCAGTAGTTATGTGTTTAAGATGTATCTTGCAAACATTTTCAGTCCTCAAACACATCTTTCCAATCTTAAATCTCTGTTTAAGACTTTGCTACAGCTGACAAATGAAACAACCAAATACAAGAATATTCTACTGGAAACTAAAGGACTGCGGTGCACTGTGTGCTATGCAGGGACATGGCAGCCAGTAAATGGCGCCAACCCTCAACATGAACAAACAAACTCTGCTTACAACTCCTTTCTCCCAAATGACTGACATTCTGTCCTCCACTCCATTCACACCATTGGGGATCTTCCTGAAGTCATCAGCACCAAGAGCCTTCTGGTCAGCATTGAAGGTACAGTTGTCTGTACCAGTCACCTGAAGGTCTCCACTGAAATGATCATGGAATGTTAAAATTGTCATTAAAGAAAGGTCCTTTTCACATCAAGCAGTGAACTTCAAATAATCGGTCCTCTCTGACTGATTGACAACTTAAAAGCCTGGCTTAAAAGAGACCCTGCACAACAATTAACTGATATAACTAAACAGCAAGGAGCAAACTTGTGGAGAACCTGTGAGAGATAGTTAAGGCCTGGCAAACCAGACTGGTCCAGTTAAGCATACCACTCAATTGGAGAAGAGCAATAGCTATTTCAATTGGATGGCATAATATATATTTAAGTGCAGTAACCTGGACCTGTCATGATATTCTTACAAACACTAATCAATAACATTCACACTGCGTAGTTTTACTGCCTGTGCAATTACACAATTCTTAGTTGCAACACTACATGCATATCTATCCTAAATACAAAGTGAATGTTACTCTAAGCTCCATGGTCTACTAAAAAATACCAAATGGAAAAGAAGAAGAATTATGTCATGATGACCTACTTTGCCAGCAGATCCATGAGGTACCCTGGTGTGGTTGGGTCAGGGCGAAGTGGAGGTCCCATCACATGACCTGCTGCATGGCGCCAGCACTTGTTATTGTAATGGGTGCCGTCGGTGCCAAGACTGGCTGCAATAGGCTCTCCAAACACTATGTTTCCTAATGAAAGAACAATCATAATTATAACATGCTTGTATATTAAAACAATTCATTATCTTAAGCTTTGCCAAACACTACAAACAATTACATTTAATCACATTTGGGTGTTAAATCTTGTTGGAAAATTAAATTCAATACAATTATATTAAAAATATTTAAATTGCTTTATAAAGTTACTTCTAAGTTATACTCTTGGAAATGCAGTAAAGAAATTTTAGGCTATGGTACCAACCAACAATCAAGAGAAACTGGCAAGGAAAGGATTATTCAAAACAAATTAAATTCTGGCACCATTTAAAGCAGACATTAGGACACTGTGCAGCAAATTAGTTATACCTTTCTTTCTTGCACTTGATACAACTTTAGCTGCACTTTTACTCATGACATGTACAATATACAGGGGACAATTAGCTTGGTCGGCTATCGTGATAGCTCTCTGTGTAGCCTCAGCTTCAACCTTTGACCAAGAAGACACAAATCATGTCAAAACAGAACAAAAAACATGCATTAGTCAATAAACCACACCTGTAAGCTCAAGGAAGACAAGAATCATTCCGACTGGAAATAAAGCACAAACAATAAAAAAAATTCAAAGCAAAATATAGGCAATATCTAACAAACATCAAAAGGGTACATTAGGCCCTTTTCACATGCAGTACGGTCCATAGAAATACAGCCCGTATCAGTGCACTATGAGAGATTGACAGAAACCTAAACAGCCTCCATACTTGGCACGGCCAATTAATTATCCTAACTCAACAGCAGAAGGGGGATAACCCCCGGTAACACAACTTATGTTAGAATCTCTCAGAGAACACCAATAGATATGTATCACTAAAGTATACCATGCCATAAAAAAGGGCCTTTCACTGCAAAACAATGTCATTATTCAACATGTTTTTTTGTTCATCCTGTAAGTTTTAAGCTCACAACAAACTATCAACCAACAGTTATTTGTAAGCACAGATGTTTTGTAAATAGAGCCCCAAAACAACAAAACTGAAAATGAAAGTGGCAAAAGATGGGAAATAAAACAAAAGATAATAGCAATAAGAACAAAAACAACAATGATCGTGGCACAGCTTCCGCCATGGTACCTCGTCTTCTGGCATTAGCTAGGACTTCAGCAGCACTCTTGCTCATCACCTTACAGATATAAAGTGGACAGTTGGCTGTGGAGGCCAATGTAATAGCTCTCATAGTGGCCTCGGCTTCACCCTGGGGAATGTGAGTATTTTATAATACTAATCGTAGTTCAACTGATATGAAGTATTTCATGGTGTGATTTTATAAACTAACCATTTAATGTATTACCATCTTTAATCTGTACAAATATCTCCTGCTCTGAACTTTATCAGAGTAAGACACCATCTGAAACATTCTACACTAGCAATAAATCAATAAGTCAAAAATCATCTTAACTGTACATGTTTCGGTGCAAGTGTTCTTTATGCTAATGCATTGATTACTAACACTAGTGGGCTAGCTTTGGTCTTAAAGTGCAATTCAAGTTCACAAGTGATCTTATACGATCTTAATCATTACAGCAGTAGTCTTAAAATGGACTGAATATGCTTTTAAGATCAAAAATGATCTAACATCTACTTAAGTGGTCAAGCAGTTTCCTCCCCTTACAACAGGGGATACCTCCCCTCACAATAGAGGGCACCTCTGCTCACAATAGGAGAATGTGTAAGGGGAGACAACTTAATTGGCTGTCAGACTAGAAATGGTCTTACTCATGTTTTAAGATCATGTAAGACTATTTGTGTTCTTAAATTGCACTTTAAGACCAAATCAAGCCCACCAGTGTAAGTACTTGTTATTTGTTATAAAGTAATACTTATCACATTAAATACCAATTAGCATTAAAATCATTTGAGAAATGGAGAATATTTGCATTCAAAATAAGATAACAATGGTATTTGTCTAAATTACGAAAAAAAAGCAGAGTGAAGCTAATCAATCTGAAGAAAGTAAATAAGCTACCTCCTCTGGTCTGCACAGCATGTGACCCTCAGGCCCAGTGATTCCCATGTCTATCATTTCTTTAGATTTCTGAAAATAAAACAGATTGTATTTTAAATAAGATGTTACTAGCACCATTTTAGGCAATATTCACTTGAGAATAAGGAATTACTTAAATCTTATTTTTTCTATGCACAATTGCTTTATATCTGATGTTCTTTCTCTGTCGGCTTACCTCGGCTATAAGATGTCCGTTCTCAGCATGTACCTGTGCAATTGCCCCAACTTCTTTGCACTTTCTAAATGCTTTGTAAAGTTCATCATCATTGAGCATAAACACATCTTTATAGGCAAGGAACATTTTGTAGGAGTTGATACCTGCATAAGAATCAAAATATATAATCCTTCTGATGAAGTCCAAATCTTATGACCCTACAAGTTTACAGTTAATTTTGAAAACAAATCATACAGATGAAGATAAAAATAGGAAAATTTACTGATGCATCTCCCATATCATATCTTTCACATAAAATTCAAAATCTCCATAAAAGTTTAAAATAATAATTCTACGCATCAGTCATAAAAATATGAAGTTGAGTTGTTCTATTGTACATCATCATCATCTTCACAACTGGTTCAAGTGCAGTTTTCTCAGCAATACCTTTATCCCTAGTTAACTCTTCTATCTGTTTGGCCACCTCATCGCTCCACCACGTCACGCCGACATGAAGAGCGTAATCACAGCACACCTTGGGGTCCGCCCAGCCACGCCATTTGTCATAGGCTTCCACAAGTGACACACCTTTTTGGTCCAATACAAAGTCAACTAAAAAATACAGGTTCTATTAATTCCTTCAAAATTAACACGTCCATATTATTGCATTCTATCAAATGTACATAAGTTTGCTATGTTATTTCCTTTTTTTGACTTCTTCCTGTAACATGACAACTGCGTATTTATAGCAAGTACTTTGTATTTGTATTTATGATAAACCAACAGGAAAATGCAAGAGCTAGGTGCCTATAACTCTATCAGACTAAATTGGCTTTTCCTTTGACCTTCCAACCAGTGCCAATTTGTAACATCAGACTAGTACATAAGCCACTATAGGCAGAGATTGACTGTACATGGTTATATATAAGCCAGTGGTCCAGACTTACTGATCATGGTGGTGCCCCCAGCCAGGGCAGCCTTAGTGCCTGTGTAGAAGTCATCACAGGCAAAGGTGCCCATAAAGGGGAGCTGCATGTGGGTGTGGGTGTCAATACCACCTGAAGTATAAAACATCAGCATCATCAATGTTTCATTATAATTGTGAAATAGAAAAGAAGAATGTACTCATAACATTTTGTATCTTGTTCCATTTCCAATCTGCCTATATATGATTTTCATTTATTTCTCAGAGCCCCAAAATATAAAAACTCAGCTAAGGCTGCTAAAATTATAATGTCAAATATTTGAATTTAGTAAACAATAGCAATCTAAGGCCGTTTTTAAAAGATCAGCCAAGCATGACATAGTTGACTTATGAAAGGCTATTTTAGCAAAACAATAGAACAATATTGAGGTAAGCATATTTTATATTTAATCAAATGCAACTTAGATGGCTACGATTCTAAGAAGATATAGAGATGACAATCTATTATTTTGAAAACTGGACCCAGTTCTCTCTACATCATTAGAGATGTACTTTTGTTCAATCAAAACAAAGCTGGCTTACGTATAGTGGCAAGAACAAGCCAGATGAACTAGGTCAACTATTGTGGTATCAACGACTTATATTTTATTATTATAATTCATATTATCAAAATATTTTTACAATGAAGAGGAATGTGGTGAATGTGTTGTGAACTGTCTCCTACTTATTAGAACCAACCAAATGGAAAAGCTTTCCTCTTTGGAAAATAACATATTTACAAATGAAAATGCATAATTATTTGTCAAAATAATATATTTATGAGGAAAAGTGCAGATTTATGTGGTTAACCATGGAAGTGCAGCTTTTACATAAGCAATGCCAGGAATATCTCTAAATCTTTTTATTTTTATTTTTTTCAAAATTCTGAATAAGTTCAAACCTGAACTGTAAAACATCAAAGAAATTCATGAACATTTTGAAAGTGGTAATCCCTTTTGAAAAATGAAAAAAAAAAAATAAATAAATAAATAAATTCATTCTGGACATCTAATGTCCAATGTCCCCCTGTTGTTACCTGGTATGATCATCTTTCCTTTGGCCTCAATGGTCTTGGCACCACCTGGGATAATAAGGTTGGTGCCCAACTGCCTAAAAGAACAACACAAAGTTATACAATCTCTATCACCAACAGCTTCAGCCATCAAAAATTAATGCATTATTGACTGCACTGGAAGCCCTAAAATCTATAAGCTGTGAAAAATTCCTCAAGAGGTGTATATGGTCAGCTAAAATTACTGGTTCAATAATTTATTGATATGAGTATAGTAAGTTAGCGCAAGAGTTGGGACTCTACATTTGAGTTTCACTTCGTCATACTTTTTCTGAAGACAAATATCCAAGTCTAATAAGGCTACATATCCATTTGCATCAATCAATCTACTTGGCAACTTAAAAAGCTTACAAAGAAGTCTGTGAAAGGCTTCATCACATGCATCTGTCTGTCTGAAAATCTAACCCTTTTAGTTAATACTAATACTGTGGTTCATCATCTTATTGATTTTCTGTTTCATATTCAAAAGACCTCAGCAGTGATCTCTACCACTGTGTGCTCCCTAGAATTTCTACCTTTGATATCAAATTCAATCAATACACTCTAATTCAAACAAAGCTGAAATGTGTTCACTCCATGGATTAGAAGAGGTTTACATCCTTTTTCTATTCTACAATACTTAAGTCTTATTTGAAATTGGAAACCACATTATTTTTCTTTTGTCTCACCATGAAAAAATGTTTACAAAACAAACGTGGTAACTTTTTCTTCTTTTATCATTTTTTTCTTTATCCCTTTTTGCTGTTCTGCTTTTCCCTTTCAATATTTTATACTTTCACTGCTTTTATCAATTCTAAGTCTCACTTTTTATTTTTGGTGGGCTTATTCATATTTAGTCAAATGTAACATTGCCATACTTACTTGATGACTCCATCTTCTATGTAGATATCAGCATCAAAAGAGCAGTCATCATTGACAACACGACCCCCCTTGATAAATACACGGGACTGGGCACTCTGAAAATATATTATCATTAAGAGTTAAACAATATCACACCATATTATATTAACAAATTATACATTTCATATGTCCAGTTTATGAGGAGGAGCAAGGGGGGGGTTATGACCTTTATTTCGTTTCATCCCCCACTAAACCTCTGTCACTTGATTCCTTGTATGTTTCTCTGTTCAGAATAATAACAAGATTATGTCATTTGCCTGGAATGCTTGGGTAAGTTTCTTTTCCTGCTTTTCATCACTTCAATTCAATCTACTCTGTAGAAACATGATCCTGTTATTTAAAATTTTGCAAGCGGCATCTATGTATACCCACATGGTAAATGCAAAACACATTTTATACTGAAGCCACCTAAGCAACTTAAATTATACAAAAACACCCTAAAGTGTACCCCAGACGCTGACATCTCTTCCAGTTCTGTAACATCTTATCCTCCATTTCTTCAAAATAATCGGTTTATTTTGCTGCATGTACACATATCCATGCTCATTTATTATCCAATATTACCAGACACATCCCCAAAGCACCACTAATCATTCTACAGTATTGACATACCTGTCCCAACCCCTACTTCACAGAATGCAGTCTAAACATAACACTCTCCCCTACTCTTTTTATACATTCCAGTGTTTTAATGGAACTGCACTGTTAAATTTCACCTAAGTTTATTTAGTTTATCAGCTAATCATCCATTCCCCATGGTACATCAGCTTGCAAAGTCTTAACATTCAGCTGAATTTTCCAGGATTAATCAAATAAATGTCTGTCAATCAAATAAATTCCAGGTATAGGTACACAGAAGTTAATTTTTTCTTAATATGTATTTGAGCTAAGTCAGCTAACTCATTTTCTCATTCATCTGTCCTAAATTACTTTCTGCATGCCAAAGCCTCTATAGTTAATATCTACTTCTCATAATGTATTGACATTTTTGAAATCAAGTTTAGTATTCACGTGAAAAATATACAGGCAAGCCACCAGCCCAACCTTCACTGAAATCAAAATTGAATAATTCACCGTAAGTATCCACAAGAAGGTATTTGATTAGTACTAATACCATGAAATTAACATAAAAAGATAAGTATTGACCAATCACACAGACCAATCACATTTTAAGATCTGACACAGGGTTATACCATTAAGAATCTCAATATGTAATAAACTGGTAATGATGAGTCAACAATCTCTGTATGCAACCTGATTATCAAATGATTACGAAAACAATCTCTCTTTTCTAATTAACTGGACACTGCAGAAGACAGATGGAGCAGGTAATTAAGTTTGTAATTTGAATATCCCTGGAGGCCTTACTTTACTAATGATATTCTTAATGAACAGTGATTTGTCTTTAGTCTAATATTCCTGTAACTTTCTCACACCTTTATTGCATTAGCATACCTGATCAACCAAGTAAAGAGAGTGTTCCTTGATATTATCTGATGCACTAACATATATGCATGGGGAAGATAAGAGATAGATGGCTTAGCAGGAGAAATGGGAACTTCTCTCCACACACCTTCACCTAAAAGATAGCATACAGTACTTCTTTTGTAAATTCACCAGTCTCCTTTTTCTAGTATAAACATCACTTCAAACATGACATTATGCATTGACACATTTCCCTTTGTGATTAGATCTCCAGCATACTGCATAATTTGAACCATTTTTTGCCAATCACCTTTAATCTAGTGTTTCAAATGAACAGTTGTTATGCCAACCACCAGGAAAACCTACATAAATATAACCCAGAGACAAGGCTGATAACTACACAGTGGCAGATAATAGCTTGCACACCTCTCTTGCACAGCAACATTAAGCCCTCCATATCTGACAATAACCCTGGGAATTATCCACCTTACCACACTACACATTATGCTCAATACAACAATCAACCATCAATCTGCAGGTAAATTTTATCCCACTGTAAATCTTCAACTGTTTTTAAAACCATGAGCATAGCCTTACACACACTGCCGTTGTTGTGTAGGGTTCACTTTGACCTAATTCCAAACGTGCCGGTGGAATTAACATGAAGCCGGTCTCTTAGCTAGTGATAAGAAGGTTACCCCACTGTTTCATTGGTAACACAAACATGACCTTGGTGCTTTACATATAAATCCTCTTAGAATTACCTGAAGATGAATCGGAACCTTTTTCACAGGTGTGGGATGATTGCTCATGGTCCTTGCAATATAATGTCCACCGTTATTGAGTCAAATATTCAATCCAGTCCCTTCTAACTGAAATGCTGCCTTGATGAAGAATGAAACCTGCAAGTCTGAACAGCCTATATCCCAGCTTTAATTCCTCCAAATCCTCTCTGTTAGTTCTTTCCTGTCTCACTGACCCTGGTATGTGCACAAGCTGGGTCGAGTCCAGTCAATCAACTCAGTGGAACATGGAAGGAAGGTACACCAACCATTTGGCAAGTGGCACTGTGGTTGTGCTATTCTGAACCCTGCACATTTGTTATGTTAATAGCTCAGCCTGTGAATGCTGTATTGATTGTGTTAGATGGGCCCCAAACCATGGATTGAGGCGGGAGTTCCAACTGTATTGATTTCTCTCCCCAGACAATGCAAGATTGATTTGGTGCACCTTTTATTATGCAGATGAGGCTCTACTCACTGACTCATGATGTAATTGGCATTAGGTAATTAATGTCAGACTCCACAATAGAACAGGGCATGGTAAACAATGGGCTAGGGTGAAATCGAAACACATTAACTTACAATTGTACACAACTGCCTGACTAAATAAAACATGCTTGAATCAATAGAAAACTATAAATATGTTGAACTCTGACACATTAGCCTATTTGGGGCAATAAATCTAAACAGTAAGTAAACAAATAAAAAAAAAACATTTAGAACTGATTTCACTTTGAGCCTCTGAGGAGAAGAAGTAATTATTCTAAAAATAACCACAGGAAAAAAAAAACTCAATCTAGACAGCCTTAATGGTCTCATTTTTCAAATGCTTATATTGCAAAATCTCAGCAGAGGCTCTCCTAAATAAATGGAAACTTGTTTATCGCCAGAAGCACCTGTTTTCTTCTTGATACCACAGCTTCCAGATGATCTTACTGGCCAAACATCTCTGCATATTCCATGGACATTTTCAGATATCATTTCTGCTTGTCTAAGCATGATGTCAGTTCATAAGATGAGTATTGCTCATCTCAATAGAATCCACTCCAAAGCAAAGATCACATAATTTATTATGCTATCCGCAGATGTGATAAAATTTATCTTGAACACCATACACATAAATACATCTTTTCAGTGAGATTTTAAGGGTGGCAAATAATAATCTCTCTCTCTCTGTTTCACACACACACACACACACACACACACATTAAAATGCATTTGTGAAGAAGTCTCCTACTGACTTTCACTAAGGAGAACAGTGAATGCACCTGTGAGTAAATTCATTTTCTTGCTCAACAATACTGGACAGAATAGATTTCCTCTAGTTTTCAACAGCTGGACATCACACTGACCATGTAATACACAACTAATTATACTTCGTCTTGCTGATCACATCTATAAAGAACTATTATTAAACCATTAGGAGAAGACCTTTCATGTGACCACAGCACACTAATGGCACATCTGTTCAATAGTTGGAATAGTAGTCATGATACATAGGAAATTATCATAAGTGTCATACTTTGTACTTCCCATATCCTTGAGCAATATAACTGTTGGAAGGCTATTACCACCACTCCATCTATTACTACCCAGATAAATGTCTTCATGATAGAATCAGGTTGCTAAACTATGTCCCTAAAAAAACTAAATACTTAAAATAGCAAGGAACTTAGCGATACATTCTAGATTGAACAAGCAGGCCTGTAGTGTCTCTCTAGAAGTGAGCAGCTGGGTGATGGCATCATTTTTTTTCTTACCTAACCTGAGAAAAGGAATAGAACCCAATCAAGTTTTGATTCAGAACACCTATTCCAGATGAAGAGCAGTTGTTTCATACACCCAGCCCACAAGCTAACACAATATGCCAAGAGTTAACACTATACCTGGCTAGGTTACATCCCTATACGTCCCCGCACCAATACTCCCCCGCACTGGTACATCCCCCCACCAATACTCCCCCCCACCGATACTTCCCCGCAGTATCAAAGCTGGGAAGCAATGATGTGGGGGAGTATCATTGTGGGGGAATAACGGTGCGCCTACATTAGCAATTTTACTGGGGATGTATTGATGCGGGGATCTATCGGTGTGGGGTCGTATCAATGCGCACAATACACAAAAATTTACTAAGGGGGATTATCGGTGCGGGGGAGTATCAGTGCCGTAGAGTAACGGTGTGGAGGAGTAACGGTGCGGGGGAGTATCGATATGACCCCCCTGGCTACACTTTTATATACTGCAGAGTAAAACTACAAATGCAGCAGGAAAATGTTTATAAACATAGGTGAAGAACATTCACAATATGCTAACAATAATTTAACAGATTTTGCATGAGAGTCCGACATTTAAACTTAATAGAGTTAAAAACATCTGAAAACTGTTATCTCCAAATCATTTTGAAAAAAAAAAGCACTGCTCTGGCAAAGCACTTCACATTTTTGTTTCCAATAATGCATACAAAATTCAATACAAAAAAAATCTCACACAAAATAGATCTTTAGGATGTTCCCCTTTGACCATATATTTGTGGTAGCTTTCAACCAACAGGCCACATGACACTTGTTTGCACAATTTCTATTGATACATGAGCTAAATACTACTTCACAATCCAAAACTCTCCTTCATCAATGAATGAGTGAGGAGAGAAGTCTTATCCAGGTGTAACCTAACACAGCCTGCTGAAGTATGGAAACATACACCTGTGATTTGAAACTTCAAAAAATACATATACTGTACCTACATGCAAATTCATGGCTTCAACTGCAAGATCCTGTTTCTTTAAACCCCAAAACAAGTCAGACCAACTAACAGGTGTTTTGGCACTGCTTGCTCTATTATATGCTTTT